AAAGGAGCAGAAGCGGTGCTCCTGCCAGGGAGATAAGCTTTTGTCTCCTTGGTGGCTTGTGGTCCAAGGTCGTTCCCTTAGCCTTAGCCTTGGTGGGGGTTACAACTTCTGAAACCAGGCAGGGAGGTTCCCAACAACTGTATAAATGTGTAGTCCTTGTGCAGGACTGTATCTAAAATTATATTCAGCCCTTTGAAGGCAACCTTGTGGCTGATGTGGCCCCTGGTTTGACACCCCTGATTTAGAGAGGGAAAAGGTGGCAGGGGAGGAAAATCAATGTGAGAGAGAAACATCCATTGGTTGCCTCCCCCACGTGCCTGAACTGGGAATCACACCTGCAGACTATACATGTGCCCTGAGAGGGAATCGAACCCACAACCTTTTCATGTAGAAGACAACACTCCAACTAACTGAGCCACCCAGCCAGGGCTTTTTATTACTTTTCTTTCTAAATATGTTTCACAATTGTTCTTGTCCCTCCAACTGCCGCCAGGACCCACGTCCAGGCCTTGACATCTCATACAGACAGGAAACATGCTTCTGAATTTCTTCCTGTCCACATGGCCTCTTCCAGCCACCCAGAGGGGCTCCTCGATGATCTCATGTCTTACTGTCGAGAAACCAAACACACACGCATGGAACAGACAAAGGGCAGACTATGCACGTGTGAGATCTGACTCAAAGCCTTCAGCAACCAGCCCAGGAAGCCAGCTTCCTCTCCAGAAGTCGGATCTGTAAGAAGTCACACTGTTCTTGCTAGTCACCCGTCTGGGAAGCCAACAAAAACGCCTACAACCGTCGGCCCCCAGCTGCTAGGACTGGGTTAGCGATGGCCAGCCTCGATACTTTCTGCCACACCCGTTTCCAACTTAGTACCGACTGGAGCGAGTTGAATACGCAGCCTTCAGCAGTCCCATCAGATGCCCCATTCAGCTTAACCTGCCTACCTGGTCTGGGATCCCCAGGGCAATGGCCTCCCCTCAGGGTGCCCCTGGAATCTTCTTTTTCCCCCACTACAAAGTTCTCCCATTCTGCCTGCTTGGGAATCTCTGCTAAATGCAAGGGTGATGGCTGACCCCCTTCCCATAGAAAGCTCTGGCTGATATTCTTCGCTCGTTCTCCTTTGGGAGGTCTCTGTTTATTTCCACATTGTCTCAATCCTGCGTCCAGTAATCCACAAGGGCTTTCTGCAGATTAATGCAGCTCTCCGGGGTTATTTTCAAATTATCCCACATCCCTTTCCAATCATAGCTTGTCCGTACAGTCCTAAGAAACTATTTAATGCTGACAAAAATATACTGCGCTGCCCTGGCTGGTGTGGCTCAGTGGGTTGGGCATCGTCCTGTAAACTGGAAGTTCACAGGTTTGATTCGCAGTTGGGACACATACCCTCATTGCAGGTTCTGTCCCGCTTGGGGTGCGTGTGGTCTCTGGTTAGGGGTGTGCGAGAGGCAACCTGTCAATGTTTCTCTCCCTTTCCTTTTCCCTCCCTCCCCTTCTCTCTAAAAGTAATGAAAAACCGTCCTCAGGTGAGGATGAAAATATAATAACATGGTGTATCTGTACACAGTGTTTCTCATGTTGGCATCTTTGCATGTGTTTGTCCTTCACACAGCATTATGCTTTGTCTACAAAATAAAAACCTCAACCCCAATGCCACTTCCCTTGTCCTTCCAGGCCTGCGTGGAGTCATGCTTCTTTCTCCTTTTGGGTGTTTAACCTTGCACTCTCTGCCATTGAGTGCCCACCTGCCATAGAAGCTGGTTCTGCAGTCTCCGTGGTCTGTTTCATCAAATCTACGGGTATAAATTCTTACTGTTCCATGTCTGCTTATCTTGTTTGGCTTATCACTGTTGGCAGCCAAAGAAATGGTTCTCCAGTTTTCGGTAAACTGAATAGAACATTCGCATGAGTCACATCAGGGAACACTTTGCTCATGGCGGGCTTTGTTATGAAAGGAAAAGCAAAACAAACCATGTGTCAGATAATAAAGGCTTCTGATGCCAACGCATTTCTCAGGGGCAAAGCTAAAAATACAGCAAGTTTCATGAAATCAAGCCAAATTCTATATTTGTGTGTAAGATGGGGCATCGTAAGGTAATGGCGTAGAGTTTAAACTTGGCCACCACTTGCTGGTCTGAGTGCATTTACGATTCTGGTGCTTGATTTTTGCTACCGAGGCCAGTCAAGGTAAAACTCTGAATTGTATACCCAACACCACACACGCACAGGCATTCAGGCACACATCACACACACATCGAGTACCACAGATGTTTGAATGGTACCACCTTGCCCTGACTGACATGGCTCAGTGGTTTGGGCATTGTCCACAAAGTGAAAGGTCACTGGTTTGATTCCCAGTCAGGGCACAGGCCTGGGTTGCAGGCCAGGTCCCCAGTAGGGGGCACGTGAGAGGCAACCACACATTGATGTTTCTCTTCCTCTCTTCCTCCCTTTCTTTCTCTAAAAAGTAAATAAATACAATAAAATAGTGGGTAGCATTATAAAATTGGCTTTAAAGAATGAACATAAACTATGCTTCTTGAAATGATGAAGGACTGAAATAGTTATGGCTCTGTACGTGGAGAGGGGATAGCATTCAAGACCACATCGTATCGGGCAACGAACCACACTGAGGAATGAGTTGAGGAGTTTATTATGTCCAGGGGCAGGTGGCTCTAAAACTGTAGTGAAACATGTCCAAATCTCTGTGTTAGAAGTTATCTCCTGCTACCATTTTTGTATTATGGTTTGAAATCAAACGCTAGAACCCGGAAAAAAACTTGAGAATCAACAACAAAAAAGGCTCCCGTGGCTCTGAACAAGGGCTGCGTGACTGGACATGGAGAGCACTGAGGTGGCGGGTGATGCACGCTGGGCGTTTGAGTCAGACAGGAGCCGGCCCGGCCGGGTAGCTCAGGTGGTTAGTGACTCTAAAAAACAGCCCCTGAAGAGGTTAGCCAAGGAGTACATATGCATAACCCATAGACACAGACCAGAGTGTGGTGATGGCCTGGAGGAAGGGGGTGGGGTTGGGGCAGGGTGGAGGAGGTGGGCAAAGGGGAGTGGGGGACGAGGACATCTGTAATAGTATCAACAATAAAAGCAAAAAACAGCCCTAAGAGGATCCTAAAAGAAACTTGGGTCATCTGAGTAAGTGCTTTAAAATTTTTTTACTGTCTCCTGCCTGAAACCTGGGAAGATGCTTGGCTCCAGGGTTACCACGGCAACATCCACTTTCATGTTACTCTCCTCCCTCCTTTCACTAATCCTCTCCGTGGTTCGTCACCATGGAGACTGGAGCGGTCCCTCCTGCTCCTCTCAAACCGAGATGTAGGTCCTGGAACCCAGAACCCTCCGACCGGGAGAACGGGGACAGCGAGCAAAGGATCCTTCCCATTCCTCCGTCCCCATCCTTAGCGTCCCCTCTACGCGCTGAGGAGGAGGGCCGGGCCAGCCGATTGTACTGCGCAGGCGCTCGACCTAGCTGGGAGGCGCTGACGGCGCTCAGCCTGCTGGGAGTTGTAGTTTTCAGGTACAGGTGGCCGATGGGTGAGCCGGGTGGAGTTAGGAGCAAGGTTATTTATTGAAGCTGGGAATCTCCTGGCAGGCTCGATTGTCACCATAGTAACGATGAAGCACGATGAAGCGCTAGCTCAACTAGCCAGTCTGCCATTAGTATTCTTTCATCTTCTAAACCCGGTGCTTACGGGTCAACCTAGGCACTGTCCTAGGTCCTGCAGAGACAGATGACAGAAAACAATATAGAGCTTATATTTTGGCGATAGCAGACTGTTAAGACTGGGGGACACAGATCGTTGGACAAAAGGGTATGTTGATAGGGGGAAGTGGCATGTTAGAGCCCTGGTACACGTGCTCCTTCCTCTGTTCTCAGGTAGGTACTGTTATTACGCCCAAACTGTAAGAGGCAGAGTAAGCAGCCAAATGTCCCAAAGGCAGTAAGTAATGAAGCTGAGATTTGATGAAGATAGTCTGCCTTTATACTCTGCGAGCTTGGGCAATGCTTAGCTGGTAAAGAGCCACGTGGTATAATTTCAGGCCATGCTAAGTGTTGCAAGGAATAATGTTGAAAAATAATGGGGTGACTTGCCCTGAGCAGTGTGGCTCAGTGGGTTGGGCGTCGTCCTGCAAAGAGAAAGGTCACCAGTTCGATTCCTGGTCAGGGCACATGCCTGGGTTGTAGGTTTGGTCCCAGGTCAGGGTGCCTACAAGAGGCAATCAGTGTTTTTCTTCCTCCCTTCCCCTTTCTCTATAAATACACAAAATCCTTATAAAAGGAAGAATGGGGTGAGTTTTGAGAAGAAATCTTCAGGGATGGCCCTCAGGAGAAAGTGACATTTGAGCAGAGGCTGGAAGGGATGGTGCTGGGCGTGCAGAGGCTCAAGTCCCTCAGGAGGAAGCCTGAGCCGCCATGGAGATGGATCCACTGGGGGCCCCTTCATGCCATCTGGCCCCAGAAGGCCTCACTGAAAGAAAGACAGAATGCTGGACCATCTCAATTTCCCTCCAGACCTGGGCCTCTGACCCTCCCGCAGAAGTCAAGGACTCTGCATGGAAACCAAAATAATACTGCTTTATTCCGACCTTGAAGCACAGTGGTCCCGACTGTCCCCTTCTGCCACTGAAGGGCCCCCAGCCCATCCCACCAGATGCCCCACACCCCCTCTTGTTCTGTCCCCTGGGAAAGACCAATCCGCAGGCAATGGGGATCCACGCCTCCAGCCCTTGGAGACGTAACCAAAACCACTCCCGCTGTTTCTCTTCTCTCCTCATCTCCCATGCTTCTCCTTTGCTGTCCCTCCTCTTCTTCCCTCTCCTCCTTCTTCCCTTCTGGCTCCTGGCTCCTCTCCTGCCTCCCTCTGTTTCCCCTATTCCATTCCTTCTCCCTTTCTGCCTCTTCTCTCACCCTCTCTCCTCCCTTTCCATCTCTTCATTGTCTTCCCTCCCCTCCCTTCTCCTCCATCTGTCTTCCTACTTTCTTTCCTGCTTTTCCACTCCCCGCTGCTGCACTGCCTGCACTTGACTGGTCTACTCCTGCCAGGCTGTCCCCAGGGCCTGCTGTGCTCCCCTCCCTCCGTGTGCCCCGTTCTTCCTGCTGCCCCGGCCTGACCCTGTCTAGACCTCTTCCTTATGTCCTCAGGAAGCCTTCAGAGTCCACCTTGGCCACCGCTGAATCTTCCACACCTGTGGCTCCAGGCCCTTCCAGACCACTGACAACTTCCCCTCGGACCCAGAGAGGCAAATTGCCAAGATGAGGTCCCCGGGAGACCCTGGAGGTGGCCAGAGGCACTGGGGTGGCCTCCTTGGCCTCACCCCTGCTATCTTTGGGATAGAAGAATGCCCTCCCGCCCTCACAGTGGAAGGGGGCGCGGGCTGGGGCCTGAGGGTCAGGACTCCGGGGCTCTCCCCCAGCAGTCCCTGAGCAGGTCGGCATGGAATAAGGCTGCCCCGGTGAGGAGGCGCGCTGCGAAGAGGTGGCGGCAAGGCAGGCGCCGGGCGGCGTGGATGGAGCAGCTGCAGCGCGTCAGGGCCCCGTCCAGGAAGAAGTCTGAGGTGCCATCCTTAAGGGCAAAGCCAGCTTCGGTCACGTGGAAACCCCGGGTCCCATGCTGCCTGGCAAAGGCCAGCTCCTCGGCCACCAGTTCTGCCAGCTCCGGCCCACAGGCCGCTCGGAACTTGGCCAGTGGCTCCCAGTCCACCTCCTTCTCTCCTGAAGGGCAGCGAGGTCTCTTTGGTTCCCTGGGGCCTTCCCCTTCACGTCCTTCCTGCAGGCTGTCCCCTGTGGCCAGGTACACTCTTCTTGTCACTGCCCATCCTGGGTCACCCCTAAACACAGTTCCCACAGGGGCACCGCACAGGACTCCGTTCCCCAACCCCACACACCTTCCTCCTGGGTCCGCACGCTCCCTTCCTTGCTCTGCTCTGCTCCTGGGGCCCCCAGACTGAGGCCCCCCTCTCCCTCCATTCTCTAGGCTTGTCACCCTTGTGTCCCCGAGCTGGACCAGAACTAGCTCCCCCAGGTCCCTTCTTCTTTTGACCCCCGATCTCACAGCTTTCTCTTCTCTAATTTCTGGTCCTCTCCTCTCAGCTCCCCAGTGGGACCCCCTTGGGTCTCTGTTCTCAGGCACCAACTCCAGGGGCTTCTGCAAGTGGGCCCCCCTCCAGTTTCTTACCTCCAGCTCCCCTCCCTTCTCTGCCCCCCCCTGAGGCCCCTTCTGGTGCCTGGTTTTCAGGTCAGAGAGCTTTTCGTCCCGCACCTGGACCCCCCTGTGGGTGCTCCCTTCGAGAATCCTGGCCCTCTCGTGATCGTGATGGAGCTGGGTCCTCCTCCCATCTGTGGTCTGTGGAGCGAGAAGCCTTTCACCCTCCTGCCGGGCCATCTTCCAGGTGTAGCCTTCCAACCTTCTCAGCCCCTGGTCCTCCGAGTGGGTCCGCCTCCAGACGTACCCTTCCAGGCCCCAGTCGCTCTCTCTCTCCAGCTGGGCCCCCCTCCAGTCTCTGATCTGTGGCCCTGCCAGACGCTCCTTCTCCAGCTGGGACCGTCTCCAGACACTCCCTTCCAGCCCTCTCACTTTCTGGTTCTCCAGGTGGACTCCTCTCCAATATTGGATTTGCAGCCCTCTCCCCTTCTCACTTTCTAAGGGAGCCCCACCCCGGCCTCTGGTCTCCAGGACTCTGGCCCACTCCTCCAACTGGGCACCTCTCCAAATACTTCCTTCAATTGGGGCCCCTCCCCAGTCTCCGTTCTCCAGGCCCTTTCCCCTCTCGTTCTCCACCTGGGCCGCCTTCCATGGTTGGCCCTCCAGCCAAGGTCCCTCACGGTCCGGGCCATCGGGGGTCACCTCTCCGGAGGCATCGGCCCACTGCATTGCCACCAGATCGCGAAGGCATTGTGCCATACTGCGCGAGGGGCTGAGGCGGCGCAGCAGGCGCCGGCGGTGGCCGCGTACCAGGGCACACGCGTCTAGATCGCGGGCTGCCTCGAATGCACGAAAGCGCACCCACATGTCGCGGCGGGACGCCCAGTTACGCTCAAAGTAGTCGATGAAGGCGGCTGGGCCGTGGGCGCGCAGCTCTGCCAGCGCCTCGGCGTAGGCGGCAGGTGACAAGGCACCGGCAAGACGACACAAGCGCGGCCACAGGCCGGGGTCCTCACGGCCCGCGCCGCCCAGCTCTTGCGCCTTGCTGAAGAGCGTCTCGAGGCCCTGCGCGCGGCAGATCTGCACGCGCGCTCCTGGCAACAGCTGGCGTACCGCGGGAAGCTGCGCGGTCACCTCGGGCCCCGCGGTCAGGCAGCGCACGCGGCCCTTGACGTCTGGCGCGCTCTGCAGCAGCGAGGCCAGGGCAAAGCGCAGCAGGCTCGGTGTCCCCGGGCGCGCCACGCAGCAGGCGGCCTGGCGTGCGTGGCCAGCACCATCCACGCACAGCACCGCCAACAGGTCCAGCGCGCCCTGCAATCCGGGCAGCCGGTCCACTAGGAGCATGCGCGGGAAGCGCCGCAGCAGCGCCCGAGTGCGCGACGTCAGGAAAAACACCGTCTCCACCACCGCCTGGTTCTCCATGAACACGAGCTTCACCTGCGGGTCGGGGCAGGGAGGCAGGGAGACAAGGAGACAGGGAGGCAGGGAAGGAGGTCAGGGTATGCCGGGGCTGCCACCCCCAGCTCCCCGACCTCAGTTTCCCCGGCTGGGGGAATTGGGAATCCATTCATTCATGTGGGCATGCATTTATTATTTTGACCGGCAGGAGGTAGTGGAGAGGAATGATTAAAAATGTGGGCTCGAAGCTAATTGTCTGCGGTTGCGATCTGGCATCTAAGGCAGTGGTTTGCAAGGTGTGGACTAGCAGCGTCAGTCTCACCTGTCGGGATCTTAAAAGAAATACCTATTCTCAGGCCCACCCCAGACCAGCTAAATCAGAAACTCTGGGGGCGGGGCCCAGCAAGCTACTGCGACTAACCCTCAGAGTGAGAGCCACTGGTGCAGTGAGAAAGCGCGCAGACCGTGAAGCCAGGCTGCCGAGGCGTGGATGCTGACCCCACCACTTTCTAACCGCGTGATTCAGCCTCTGTGCCTGTTTGCTCCTTAACCTCCTTGTCCCCCAGCTTCCCCTCTGGGAACTGAAGACTCATGTCCTTGCGCACGGAGAGCCAGATCCAGCAGAACCTCTGGAGCCAGACTGAGGGGACCGGGATGCTGGGGCCCAACTTCCCGGCTGCGTGGCTTGCGGCAGCTTCCCTGACCTCCGTCTCATTTGTAAAATGGTGATGACGAGAGTATCTCTGATTGGAAGGATGAAGTCAATTAAAGCATTTAGCTCCTGGCTGCTGTGGCTCACTGGATTGAGCGCTGGCCTGGGAACCAAAGGGTTGCTGGTCTGACTCCCGGTCAGGGCACATGCCTGGACTGTGGGCCTGGTCCCCAGTAGGGGGCGCACGAGAGGCAACCACACATTGATGTGTCTCTCCCTCTCTCCCTCCCTTCCCCTCTCTCAAATAAATAAATAAATAAATAAATAAATAAAATCTTTTTTAAAAAGCATTTAGAATGCTGTCTGGCACAAGTAACAATGCTATTATTTAACAATACTCACCCAGATAGTAAGTGCTCTTGAAGTGTTCGTTATTAGTATAATTATCATCTCTGCTCAAAGACCACATCCTCGGGATGGTCTTCTCAGACCATCCTAGGTAAGCAAACCCTCCGGCTCTCTCTAAGCCCTTCGGCCATGACCCTTACCACCCTGAAGCATGTCACACCTTTACTTGCTCATTTGCTTACTGCCTGGGTGCCCTCCCCAAGGTGTCAGCCCCGCGAGGGTTTCATTGTGTTTCAGACCCCTGGCCCAGAGCGGCAGCTCAGTGCATCTGGAATGAGTGAGCATGCGTGCATGGGCACGTGCGAGTGCAGTGGCACCCAAGCCCCGCGTCTCTGGAGCAGAGGTTCAGTGTACACAGTCTGCTTTGGAATCCTGGCTTTGCCTCTTAGTAGCTCTGAGTCCTTGGGCAAGTGACTTCCTTTGCATCTTAGCCTCAGTTTCCTTGTCTGTAAAATGGAGATAATAATGCCCATTGAAGAGGGGCGTCGGAAGACTAACGTGAGAAGACTTTGTGAGAAGGCTTTGGACCATTTGTGTCCAAAGCTGGGAACGAGGGCTGGCATGTACCAAGTCCCAGCTGTTATTATTGTCTTACCTAAGCTTTCCACAGCATTGAGGACGGTGGCCCTGTCTCCTTTCAGGAACACAGGTCTCTCTTGGCCTCTGTCACCCTGAAAGCGCCTGGCGTTCCTCCTTCCCCCCAGGCATCTCCTCTGCAGGCTCCTTTGCTTGCCCTCCTCCTCCCCTGCCCCACCTCTAAATGCTGCCCTGCCACCGTGCCTGACCCCACGCTCTCCCCTGTCCCTTCTCCAGTCTCTGCCAGAGTGGTCTCATGCAGCCACACAGCCGTCACCCCCTTGAAGCTGACACCTCCAGTTCTGCAGCTCCAGGCTCCAGACCTACCTACTTAACCGCCTCTGCAGCAACATGGTCCCTTGAGACCAGCAGTTCAAAGCCACGCTTGCCTCTTGCTCCCCCACCCTGCCCCTTCTTGCCCAGCCCCATATCTGCCAATGGCTCCACCACTCACTCCAGAGCTCAGGCCCTGACATCAGGGCTGGTTCCTGGAGTCCCTCTTTCTCCACCCCCTCATGCAATCCACCCCACAGTCCCTGAAGCGACCTTCATAATGAGTCCAGAATCGGCCTGCTTTCCCCACCCCCACGGCCACCACCATCTCTCACCTCCTTACCGGGCTGCCTGTCTCCACCCAAACCCCTTTGTCCATTCCCCACACAGGGACCAGCGGGGCATTTTCAAAACTCCAATCAGATGACCCCTTCCCTGGCTGATAAGCCTTTCCTAGGACTTCGAGTCACACGTGCCGTCAAATCTGGAGTTCACACTGTGCTGAGGCTGGGTGATCAGGCTGTGGGACCTTGCCTTCTGTCCCTCTCACCTGCCCTGGCCTCCATCACCCTGGCCTCATTATTACTGCACAAAAGCCTCTTCATGGAGCAGGGGGATTAGCAGCAATGAGTGAAGGCCCCCTCTTCCAGGCAGGCAGTCAGGGCTCCTTCTGCCAGTCCCTGTCGGAGCTGACCCACAGCCACGGGGCCAGGACAGCCTAAACGCACATCTCTCTGGACCGTGCTGCCATAACCCAATCTCCTTCTACCAGACCAGTTAAAAAGTACTTTCCAGGGGAAAAAAAATAAACTCACAAGAAAAAAAGTCTAGTAGAATCCAAAGAGAACAAGGTGATTGCTTTCCTAACCCTAGAATAATATGCTCAGCATCTTAAATAGTATTGGAATGCAACACATTTTATGAAAAAGCCAGGTACGAGGGGGGACCCAAACCCCCCTGGAATTAAAAAAAAATGGGGTGTTTATTCTCACATGTTTAAACTTCAGTCACCTTCAAAGTACTCTCTAATTGATGCAATATACCTGTGGAGATGTCTTTCCACTGCTCAGAACAGTTTTTGAACTCTTTGATTTTGATGCCTTTAGTGCTTCTGCCATTTTTTGTTTCATCTCTTTCACATCAGCAAAATGCTTCCCTTTGAGGGCTTTTTTCATCCAAGGAAACAAAGAAAAGTTGCTTGGGATGAGATCGGATGAATAGGGAGGGTGGGCATGGGGTCATGCCACTTTTGGTCAAAGACTGCTGAACACTCTGCGCAGTGTGGGCAGGTGCGCTCATGAATCAGCCATCATAAAATGGGCAAACATGTGGAAAGAGTCTTAAAAAGAATGCACTGAAGCCAAACTCGGCCTCTCACAACAATGCCAGCTGGTGCACTGATGCCCATGGTGGGGGCCCGCCCTCCAGAAGATAATTCTGAGTTTTGGGGGGATCCCCCCTCATAAGCTTGCCACTGACTTACTTACAACACCACTACAATTTTTCAACTGTCATTCACTTTTATATTAGTTTATGATTTAATTGCTGTCAGCCTGGGCTGGTGTGGCTCAGTTGGTTGGGCATCATCCCATGAACCAAAAGGTTGCAGGTTCAATTCCCAGTCAGGGCACATACGAGAGGCAACTGATCGACATTTCTCTCTGACATGGATGTTTCTTTCACTCCCTTCCCTTTTCTAAAATCAATAAACATGTCCTCAGGTGAGGATTAAATTAATTAATTAATCAGTTAATCTCAGCAGAAGTTTCTATCTAGAGCCACTCTGTCCAGGATGGTAGTCACTGGCCACATGTAGCAAATTGAATTAAGATTTTAAAATACATAGAAAAGTCAATCCCTCAGCCATACTAGTCAGATTCCAAGTGCTCAGGAGCCACACGAAGCCAGCGTGGCTCCTCGAACATCCAGATGTCCCTGATCTAGAATGTTTCCATCATCACAGAACCTTCTGTGTCTGGTCCAGAAACTCATGCAAAGATGAAGGTAGTTGGACATTTGCTAGACTTACTGTGTCAATCATTCCACAGCATGCGCAAGTGCTGACTCGTGTTGTACACCTGGGACTAATATCACATTGTACGTCGATTGTACCTTAGAGTCGCAATAGTTATAATGGGTTAAAAAGAACTTACATACTTCTGTTGTACTAGGTAAGTTCTTTTCTTTTGCTCCTTGGGAGTCAGGAATAAGAGGGAAAAGCAATCACACAAAACATACTTGTCTTCAGGCTTGCCCGGGCCAGGCTGGCACTCAGCTAATTAGAAGCTCACTTCCATTTTTAATGGGAAAACTTAGATTTCTGATTCTGGGTTTTTTTTCTAAAGAGGGCAGAGGAGCTGTTTAAATTTTTTTTTTTTTTGAACAGCTATTTGTTCATTAAACAGCACTTACTGAGCACCGACTGTGCACCGATGCTCTGGTGGTCCTAGAGGAGGAGAGAGCAGAGACCGAGGCAGGCCCACGTCCTGCCCCGTTGGGCTGGCCCGGTGTCCACGAGCCAGAGCCCAGCCAGCATTAACTGCGGCGGCGAGGCTGTGAGGCCCAATGACTGGGTCCTCCAGAGTTTCTGCACCCCGGACCCAGGTTCCTCTGCGTCCTAGCTGTGTGAATTTGCACCCTGGCTGTGGGACTTGGGGGAAGTTTCTGATTGCTCTGTGCCTCAGCTGTCCCCACCTGCACAGGTGGGGATCATGCTGGCCTCAACTTTGTAAAGTCGCTGTGAGGAGTCATCCACATGGAGCGTGTGGGGGGCCTGACAAGAGGTCCCTGTTTGCTGAGTGTCAGCTGTTGTCACTGCTACCTGAGCAAGGCGGGCGTGCTAAAGGGAAATGCCGAGGGACCTGAGGGCGGCGTGCGGCCTTCTGGCTGAGTGAGGGGCGCTGCCCAGAGGGGGCCATCACTTTTCTCACACCGTGCATGTGCAGACTGCGGCTGAGAATCTCCAGGGATTCCAGTGGGTCCGGGTTGTCCGACCCCTGCACTTCCCAGAGAAAGGCTTGGCTCTTGCCCAGCTCCGGGGAGATCAGCCCTTGAAATGTGCTGCCTGATGAGACTGCCTTTGTTTATCTGGTAGTCTCTGCCAACAGTGGGACTAATGCTGGGGTCTTGGGACAGGCAAGATCTCCTTGACCTCTGGAGGGGCTGGAGACCAGGGTCAGCCACGCAGACAGGCTGCTGTGTCTGTGTCCGGTCCCAGCAAAAGCCCTGGACACCAAGGCTCAGGCGGCCTCCTTGAGGGGCACTCCACCTGCGTCCTCACACTGCATTGCTGGGAGGACTAAGCTCTGCCCACACAGCCGCACTGGGAGGGCAATGAAAGCTGGTGCCTGCTCTCTCGCGGACCCTGCCCCACGTGCCCCTTCCCCCTGCTGACTTTTATGTCTTTTCACCATACCCCACAGTGGCCATGAGCGTGATGGCTTTGCTGAGATCTGGGAGGCCTCTCTGCACTCGAGGGTGGTCTGAGGGAGCCGGCCACAGCAGAGAAGGGACCACCCAAGGTCACGGACCTAACAAGTAGTGGGGCTGGGGACCAAGTCACTGAGAATGGTTGGGGAGAAAGGAAGGAGTTGTGGGGGAGGGTGGATGTATTTGATGAAGGTGGAGGATACACAAATGAATGAATTTATCTACCACACATTTACTGAGCAAATACGAGGTGCCCAGTGCCGGTGCATCCCTGAGCAGGGGCACCCTGGCCCTCAGAGTGGGAAGAGACAGCCTGCAAAACACAGATGACAAAATACCCACGCGACGATCTCAGGTACATAACACACTGAGGAGCGTGAACACCCCACGTGAAGCCATTTCTCAGCATGAGGCACAGGTCCGAGGCATTACCTCTTTCAATCCTCATAATTGCCTTGTACAACAGGCACTGCTGTTACCATCCCCGCTTGTCAGATGGGGAAATTGATGCACAGAGAGACTCAGCTGCTTGCCCAAGGTGACATAGGCAGTAAGCAGCAGAGACGGGATTTGAACCCAGGCAGCTGTGCCCAAGGTCCACGCTCCCGACAGTGCATCCCCGCTGCCTTCGCGGAAGTGAACACACAGGCCGGACGCGGAGGCTTTTGGCTTGAAACACACGCACGGGGCACACATGCGCAGACAGAGCGGCCCAAGGAGGAGCGGGTGTCTTCTCAGATGCACAGATCAGCAGCACTGGGGTGAACCGGACAGTGAAGGCCGGTTCCACAGGTGTGACGGGCAGAGACCGCACAACCTACCACCTTCCATCCACACCTCTTCCTGTACGCCAGCGCCCGGCTGCCTTCCGCACCACGTGATCAGGATCAGCGCGGTCCTGTTGCCCAGACTACCCCGAAGAAAAAAATTACACGCACACACACTCGATCCTTACACAGCCCGAACTATCCTGTGGAGTAGTATCTATTCCTGGCCCCACTCCACAGATGAACAGACTGAGGTCCAGAGAAGTTTTTTAACTTTTTTTTTTTTTTTGCAACTTATTGGATGCCCCATGGCCAGGAAACGGCCGAGCTAGCATGTATTTAAAGCTCTCAGCATATAGCGACATAAATAAAACCAAATCTCTGGCTCTTACTGTATTGCCTGGAATTGGCTGGTGTGATGTGAAGAGTGGCTGTCTGCACAGAGGACGTGTCGTTTGGGAGCTGCCAGAAGCCTGTGTGACAGCAGAGCAGGAGCAAGGTGGCCAGGTGCAGACAGGGCTCAGGGAGACTGTTGGCAAAACCACACTCTGTAAGCCTGCAAGTGTCACTTGCCAAGTAATCCCGGCTCTGCTGTCCCAGGTCCTGGGCAGGGCTGACCCTGCCTGCCCTCTTGCAGTTAGGCTGGGTCATGTGAACTTGCTTCAGCCCACAAAGTGTGAGTGAGAGTGACCTGACCTGATGTGGTGCTCGAGGGCAGAAGCCTTAACAGCCCTTGGTGACAGATAAGTGTTCTTATGCTGGATGGTCCCCTGTCTTCCTGTAGCCAGATGCCACAGCTATGGTGGCCTTATGGTTCTGGTGACACCTCTGGAATCGGTCTGGACCACTCTCCCCAGCTCCAGCTCAGGCTCCTTCCTCATCTTTACCCCGAGCTGGGACTGCCCTCATGTGTGAAGAAAAACAAGGCCAGGGGGAGTAAGCCACTTGCTTTACTTTCCTTCTCTCCTTCCTTCCTTCTTCCCTCGTGCCCACCCCAGCCCTGAAGTTGGACGGAAGCAGCAGAAAGATGCCTTGTAGGGGAGCAGCATTCTCACTGTCCCTCCAGCATTCGAAGCTTGCTCCTGCCTCTGAGCCTTTGCATTGGCTGGTCCTGTTGCCTAGAACTTGCTTCCCTCTGCAGACAGGATGGGAGTCAACTAACTGTCCCACTCCTCAAGATGGAATGTAGCAGTCTCCCATCTCATGCTGGATCTGGGTGCTGCATACAGGGTGCTTTCACCTTGTGAACATGCATCGAACAGTGTCCTATCATTTGTGCATTCCCTACACATGTAGTTCTGTTTAAAATAAAAAAAAATGCCCCCCACTACTTCAAATCCTCTTCTTCCTAGTGCCCAGCCCTGCTGACATTACACTGTATTTGGCTGGATATGCCTGCCTATTGCTGGCTTTTCTCACTGGAACTGCACGCTGCTTCCAGCAGTTACCTGTGCAAGATGGCCCAAGCCATCAGTGGCTATTGAGATTTCAGTTAGTTACAGTGAAATGAAATTTAAAATCCAGTTCCTCCATCCTACTGGCCACATTTCAAGGCCTCAATAGCCAACTGCAGCCGGGAACTCCTCTGCCAGGCAGTGCGGAACCTCAGACCTTTTCCCACAAGGCTGGAAGTAGTACTGGGCAGCCGTGCACTAGAGGCGAGGTCTCTGAGTGCAGGTGTGTCTTTTCACCACTGCATCATCCCCAACGCCTCAGCAAGAACGTGTTGAATGAAGGCAGGGAGGAATGACTGGAAGGAGTGAATGGATGAGTGGGAGGATGGATGGATGGATGAATGAATGAATGACCCGCCCCAGCCTGCCTCTCTGGAGACCCCACCTTGGCCTCAGGGTCGGTGTGGAAGAGCCCCTCGAGCACGCGCAGGGCATCGATGACGCTGTGGTCCCTGTCCTTGCAGTAGGAGAGCAGGCGGTGCACATCGGCTGGCGCCAGGAACTGCTTGGAGATCTTGTTGGTGGTGCGCACTGGCAGGCAGGTGTTGGCCAGCAGGCGCCCCGGGCGGAAGTAGTAGGCGAACTCGATCGGGCAGGCTGGGTGCGAGTGTGTCAGCTGGCACTCCGTCACCACCAGGCGGTCCCGCAGTGGGCTCAGCTTGACGATGATGAAGGCAGGGCAGCCGGCCTCGTGGTGCCTGCGGGAGGAACGACCACCGTCGCCATCATGCCACCCCGCTGCCCTCGGCTTCTGGTTACTCTTTTTAAAAACTAAGAGTGATTTCCAGCATGGAGAAGAGCAGAGGGCCTTGGGGATATGCCAGGTGCCTGACCTTGGGCAAGTCAATTCAGGCCTGCCTCAGTTTCCCCATTTGTTAAAAGAGAGGTTATTCTCACTGTCACTTTCCCATAGTTGTGAGGATTAAGAGAGCTGCTCTGTGGAAGGTGCTTCAAACGTGTCTGCAAGGGGGCGGGCCCTATGCATGTGCTGAATTCTGTACCCACAGCCCCGGAGCTATCGAAAGTGAATGAACATTTTATTATAGTTACCTCACACAATTTCAAGAACATAAAACATTTCAGATAGTCCTGTTTCTGCTTCTGATTTAGCAGTAACAACATTGGAAGTTCGGGCCCATTGTGAACTGCCCCTACCAGGTCCCCTTCCTCCCTCTGTCCCCAGAGACAATCCCGACCCTCCTGGGTGGCTGGCATTCCCACCCATCTTTTTATGCATCTGTAAACAATGGAGGTTGGCTTCCTATGTTGCAAAACTTTGTATACACAAAAAGGTGCTCAAAGTGGACGAGGAAATACAAATTTAAACCCCATACAAATATGGCCCCACACATTGCCACTGTGATCACACAGGACACGGAGCACAGCGAGTGTCGATGAGGATGCGGAACGACTGGAGTTCTCTCACATCGTCAGTGGAGGCTGAGATGGTACCACCGCTTCTGGGAAACTGCCCTGCGGTACTGACTAATGCTGGTCATCTGCCTCCCTCTGAACGGCAATTTCACTCAAGACAGACGTCTGAGGATGGGCAGTGACAGGCTGTACTAGAGCCCTGGCTGGTGTGGTTCAGTGAATTGAGTGCTGGCGTGTGAATGGAAAGGTCACAGGTTCAATTCCCAGTCAGGGTACATGCCTGGGTTGTGGGCCAGGTCCCCAGTTGGGGGGCATGTGAGAGGCAACTGATTAATGTATCTCTTGCACATTGATGTTTCTCTCCCTCTCTCCTTCCTTTCCCCTCTCTCTAAGAAGAAATAAATAAAATAAAATAAAAAGACTGTACTAGAATGTTCACAGCAGCAGTTTGTATCAGCTACATACTTGAAACAACCCAAAGATACAACAACACAGTAGAAAAATAAGTTGTAATATACTCCTAAAATGCAAAACTAACCAACAAGAATGAACCAACCGTTACTACCTCCAACAATGGGGATGCATCTCACAAACCTACTGTGTGAGAGGTCACAAAAAAGGACCCACTATGTGGTGGTTCTCGTTTACAGGAAGTTTGACAACAAGCAAGCTGACTGCTGCTGGCGACAGATGGACAGCGGCTGGCCTGGGGTGGCTAACCCTCTGGGGGGCCTGAGGTGGCTTCCTGGCCCTGGGCGCGACGTCCTGTCTCCTGTTCCCCCGGGGCTGGCTGCCTGTGCCTTCTACGTGGGGAAGACTCCCTAAGCTGCATGGGTGTGGTGGTGCACTTTTCTGAACCTGTGTTACACGTTTTAAAGGATCTCTTCTGTGAAGCTGTCCATCTTGCAGAGACTAGCACGTCCCCTCTGGAGTTCCAGGACCTCACGGTCATCTATAGTGACTGCAGTGCGCTGCTGCCGCTGTTTTGCAATTTCTCTCCACCTGGCTGGGAGAGTAATCCCGCGGACCCCACAACTGTGAACTCTACGTGGGCGGGGCTTCCCTGTTTCCTTTACTGAGCGCCCAGAACAGCCCCTGGCCGCTGGGAGGTGCTGAGTAAATATGTGATGAGCGAATGGCTGAATCCCACTGTGTGACACAAGCACTGAGGCCTGCCCCTCACCCATCACCAAGTCCTGCCCATCCTGTCTTCTACGCTCTCCAAACCATCCACTTCCCCGCCTTCCCACTGCCACCAACCTATTGCAAATTCTTCCCTTCCTCAGGAAACATCCTCCTCTGCTCTTTGGACCTAATGAACTCTTACTCGTCCTTCACGATTCAGTCAGTGCCACCTCCTCCAGGAAGTCTTCCTTAACCTCCCCAGGCTAGGGCAGATTTCATCACCAGTTGGGATGATGATTTGATCAATGCCCATGAGTAACACATGCTCCCCCCTGAATGGGGAGCTCCCCCGCTGAAGCCCCAGCATCTAAAATACATTCACCCTGTACACAGTAGGCGCTCAAAACGAACCTCTTCCATGAGTGAACAAACACCATAGCACCTAGAACCCAAAAATCTTTAGGGTGCCCACACATTCAACTCTTGTATTGAGAATCCACGATTGAAATAAAGATGAGGGGGAGAGGAAGGGAAGGAAGGAGAGAAATGGGGGGACGAGAGAGCATGGGCTTTGTGATTAAACACTGCAGGTCCAAATCCTGGTTTTCCCCCTTAGCAGCTGTGTTATGCCGGGAAAGTGTTTCATCCTCTGTGCCTCAGTTTTCTCATCTGGAAATTGGAGCTAATAATGATAATACCACCCTCAGAGGCTTGTTGAAAGGATTAAGTCAGAGGATTAAATTATGTCAAGACGTTAGAAAAGAAGCTGGTGCACCATAAACAGTAAATTAAAAGTAGCCACTGTTTTCAAAATATCTTTTTTTCTTCTAATAGTGCCACCGCTTTGATTTGCTTTATACATCACTTGCCCATTTCTTCCAGGTCTTTCAGCTTCTCGAGATCTTTGTGTTTTCAAAAGCTGGCGAAGATGGGGCCAATCCTGTGCTGGGGAGGAGAGCGCCTTCGAGAGAGGCCCAGGGGAGAGGGAGACAGGGATGGGGGTGGGGATCGGAGAGGTCACTGTGCACCCTCTGGCAAAGGGGAAAGGAGGAGCTGAAAGGAAGCCTTTCTGTGTGTCCTCTGGCCCCTAGCCCGAGCCTCCGCCCTCCTCCCTGGTCTGCCATCTCTCTCCTCCAGTCTGTCCCCCATGCAGCCACAAAAGGATCTCCTTACACCCAGCAGTGACCCTGCTCACAGCCCTCCTGGGGCCCTCCAGGGCCCCCAGGATAAAGCCCCAGCCCATGGACACAACCCTGTAGGCCTGGGCCTTGACACCATTCCAGCCACAACTCTTACACTAATTTTCTCCAGCCTCTGCCCTCGGCCTGTGCATGGGCTGTCCCCAGGCTGTGACACAGCAGAGGCCCTGAGCAGCGTGGGGGTAGAAGGGCTCAGAAGTGATGGCCCCAAGTCACCCTGGAGGCGGCTCGTCCACCACTCCCATTTCTGGGCTCCCCATCCAGGCACCATCCCACTGTCCACTGAGTCACCAGGTCAAGCCCCCTCCACAGCTTGCCACTCCCCTACCCCGGACCCCCATCCCTGGCTCCCTCTGATATTTGTAGAGCCCTTGAGACATGCCTGCACAGAGTATGTGTCACATGGTTGTTAAATAAAATACTGCATATACATAGAGAAATAAATAAAAATTTCAAGATTCCTGGTCACCTCTTCTAGGAAGCCTTCCACAACCACCTATAAGCTCTCTAGTGGAGCTGACCACTCTCTTTTATACTCCTCTTCTTCTTCAACCTGTCTCTCACTACTGTGGATCACTATTGCCTTTTAGTTTTTGTCTTTGTCTCCTCCATTAGTTCTGAGCTCCTCAAGGGCAGAGACCAGCGCTGGGTTCAAAATGCCTAGCAAGGAGCATGCCCAGAGTAGGTGCTCAGTGTCATTCTGAATTAGATTTTGTTAACAAAGAGAGATTCTAGATTGAGCGTAAGCTCCTTGTGAGTTCCAATGTTCTAGATTTCTGTGTGACAAGGTGTGTTTGATGCTGTCCTGCTTCCAGATATCGGAGTCTCTGTTTCCAGAAGCGGTGAATAAATTACTGAGGACAGTGATCTCACAATCCAGGTTTAAGTAACTATGAGTGAAAATTGCTGTTAGAGGGTGCTCATGCTGTGTCGGGTACTCTTCTGAATTGTTTGCCCATATTATCTCATTTAATCCTCACAAACCCTATGAGATCAGTACTAGTAATCTCTCATTTTCCAGTTGAGGAAACTGAGGCCCAGGAAAGGTGACGTCACATGCACACTCAATGTCACCAGTTAATCAGCAGCAGAGCCATGGTCTGTACCCAGAAGGCTGTGCTCTCGATTCCTGTACCAGCTGTCATTTACCCAGCCGCCCGGTTTTCCTGTGCATGGTCTCATGGGAACCTCCCAGCAGCCCCATGAGGTGGGTACAGTGATAACCGCATTTCACAGATGAGCAAACCGAGGCTCGGGTATGAGATGTCTGTTGCCCAAAATGCCCGCCCAGGAAATGGTAGAGCCTGTCTCACATAGCCGAAAGGCAGGGTCTGGGTTCTCAGGTACTCTACTCTTGTCCATGGCTCTCCAAAACCACAAGTCTTGAACTTGAACCTATGAGGGCCAGGCAGGCAAAACAAGAAAGTGGCCATGCTGAGTATGAGGCAGCAGAGAGTGGTGGGGTCTGAGGCAAACCTGAGCGCCAAAGCCTTGTCTGACTGGGCTGCTGCAAAGGAAAGTGGGCTCAGTCTCTTCCTGTTTCAGTGGAAACTAGAAGCTAACATCCTATGTGCAATGTTCCCAGTTTAAAACTGGGGACCACTGAACTACCCTTTGCCACCTGGGCATTTTTCTTTGCTCTCTCAAGTTTCTTACTTGCCCCTGCTGCAGCGTTATAGTTGGAGGGGATTACATATATATGCTTGTGCATGTAATATCACTCTTCCTGCTCAGAGTGAAAGTTCTAGAAGGGCAGGGTATTCCTGTCTTGCTCAAACAACCGCCTCCCCCCTCTCCCCAGTGAAATATCCCTAGCCCCCAGCCTGGGAACGGGACCTGTGTTTACTGAATGGATGGATGGGTGTGTCTCTCTTTGTCCTATGGTGTTCTCTGCAGCTCTGTCTCTGATCTCTTAGTATGGGCACAAAACCCGCCTTTCACCTGTTTTTCTCTGGCTCTGGGTGGTGTCTCTGGCTGCGAGCCTCCATGTTTCTGGAATTTCTGAGTCTTTTTTTCTTCTTCTGTCTCTTGGGTGTCACTCTGCCTCTCGGTGGGTCTCTGTCACAACATCTCTAAGTGGAGCCTACCTTGTCTCTGTGTGTGACTGTCCCTCCCATTCCCTGTCTCTGCCACTCACTCTCGGTAAGCTTCCCTCCTTGACTCTCAGCCTCTCTGCAAGGTATCATTAGCTGTTTCAGTTGGCATCTCTACTCTCCCAATCCCGGGGTGGGGGGCGCTGTGCCTCCCCCTGCCCCTTGCTTTCTTTTTCCCTCTAGCACCCAGCAGGGTGGTGGCTCAGCTCACTCACCCTATGGCAGGCCGGCTGGGAGCACGCACGTCCTTGCACACCAGCCGCACGTAGCTGTACTTGAGCACGTCAATGAGCGTGTACAGCGGGGGCAACCTGGCCCAGTGGCAGCGTGTCAGGTGCATGGAGCTCTGGACGAAGAAGAGCGCCAGGCGCTGTTGGCACCACGTGTCGAAGAAGCGGCTGAACTCAGCCCACGAGAAGAAGGCCCGCTCCAGCAGCTCCTGCTCCTCCTGCTCCTCCGGCCCTACCGCCATGCCAGGTGGGGGCTCCATCCTGGGGCATCTGAGTGAGAGGGGGGAGGACAAGTACCTAAGACCACAGAGCCATTGCCACCTGAGGTGCCCACTCCCTCCATTTTTGACCTGCCTCTTTGGTGCTGGCATCTTTCTCCAAGCAGCCCCCGGGGCAGGATGCACCTCCATTAATCTCTAGATATGAGCCTCCACCCCACCTTTGGCCTCCTCCCACCTGCATTATTCCAGGGACAGTTGCAGCCTGCCATCCTGACCCCTAATTCCAATTCTGGTTTGCTCCTCCACAGATGTGACCCCGAGGTACAGCTGGGGTTCCGTTCCCACAATAGGACTCTAGAGCTCAGTTGTGGGCACTTCCCGAAATGTGCTCCCAACTTCCAGCTAAAACTTCCTCTCCCTCCAGATGTGTCTCCTACTCGTGGCAGTAACCTCTAGTGCCCCCATTTATATGGAACCCTCCCCTCCAAGGGGCCGTACAGCCGCGCCCCCCTCAAAGATGCTCCATCTCCAGACATGCTCCCACACTCGGTCATGGGCCCTTCACCCCCAATCCTATTCTCCATACACCTGTGGCTCCCTGCTCCCTGGATGTGTTTCCGATATGCAGCTGCTGCCCCTTCCCCAGGTGTAGCACCTATGAGCTGCCACATCCAGCTGTGGCCTCTGCTCCCTAGAAATGCTTCCATATCCAGAGGTACTCCCCACATCTAGTATTATACTTTCCCTACAGATGTGTACCCCATTCACTTGTGGCCAATTCTCAGAAGTGTCACTAATATTCTTCTGTGTCCCCTTCCTGCTCAGGCGCGCTCCCCCAGTCCAGCTGTGGTCCCCTCCTTCCACCTACAGGTATCATCCTCCAGAGGTGCGTAATCGTTCAAGACATGGCCCCATTCCAGATGCTCCCCGCATCCAGCTGTGCTCCCCGACATCCGTGCAGCCCCTCCCAGCTCACTCTCGCAAACCTTCCCAGCTCCGCCCGCAGCGGTCCCTTCCCTCCCGCCGTCCCACGCAGTTGCGCCTCTTCCCTCCCCCAGATGTGCACCCTTCCCGCCCCTCCCCACTCACCTACCCGCCCCGAGGCGGTGTCCACCTCCCACAATGCCCCGCGCCGAGGCCCTTGCTCCCGGGATGCCCCGCGCCGCCTCCCGCCTCTCTTCCCGCCGTGCCTCGCGCAGCGGTTTTCCCCGAATGCCCCTTTTTCCCTGTCAGTCACTCGGGCCACCTGCAACTACATCCACCCGTCCAGAGCAAAAGAGGGCGCGGGCCTTTTCCCAGCGTGCTCTGCGGGAGGGCTCGTTCCACCTCACCCCCTCTTCCTAGCAGCCCCCCGCCCTGGAAACTACAATTCACTGCGTCCGCCGAGCGGCGGCGGCGCTGACAACCCCCGGGCCCCGCCCCTCGGCTCGGCCCCGCCCCCGGCTGCCGAAGTCTGCGCGCGAATTCCGTGGCGCGAACTTGGGAGAGCTGTAGAGCGTCCCGGAGTTCCTGGTGGACACCTCAGACAGCGGAGTGCGGGGCCGACGCCAGATAAGTGGGACCGCCCGAGCGGGACTGAAGGACTGCTCGCGTGTCGCACGCCCGAGGTCCACGGCTTTGCCGGGTCTGTCGACTTCGGCGGAGTGGGCGTGAAGGACGTTGAGGCGTCCGGGAACGCATCCGCCGGAGAGGGCCGGGTAGAAGGTAGACACAGCTGAACGAAGAGGGTTTCATGAGAGGCGTGGTGGGACAGGGCCATCTGGAAGGCGGTGCGCAGGGCCCGGGAAAAGGGGAAGGAGAGGCGGGGTCAGCTTTAAGGGTTGGGCATAGCTGAATGGAGGTGGGGCCAGGGGGAGGTCAGTGGTGAGGTCAGTGGTAAGGTCCGGATCCAGGCCAAGGCCTTCTAGAAGATGGGGAACCTCCCGGATAGGGAGTAGCCTGGGCTTGTGTGTACCTGGTTAGGGGGCGGAGCCAGGGGAAAGTCTCTGAAGGCTGGTCAGCAAGAAGGAAGCCCTGGTCTGGGAGGGGGTGGAGCCATAAGGAGGTTTGCGGGGGTGGGGCCAAGGAAAGGGTAGCTGAGAGGTCTGGGCTTGGGGTTGCCCAAGAATGGGTAGAGGGAAGGCCAGAGGAGCATGGAGAGGGAAGAGAGAGTGGTCTTGATGTTCTTAGGTGAGGGGGAAGTCTGATGGGTAAGGGGGAGGCACTTGGTGGGGACAGGAGAGGAACATTTGGAAAGGGGAGCTAGCATGTGAAAACAGGGGGCTTGGTGAGGGGAGACGGCAGAAAACAAGACTCAAATCGCCCTCTTTGGCCTCCATCCCCATTTCAGTGCATTGGAATCGCTGGCATTTTATACAGCCTGAGGAGGAGGCAGTGGGGCTGGCGTTGGGGGGCGGGGACGAGGCACGACAGTCTACTCTAAGTAAGACCTTTCCTGAATTCCATCTTGTCTTAGGGTCAAGTGGGAGCTCGCTAGGCCTGCAGGTTTCGCCCTTCTACCCCAGAGCTTCTGACTCAGTAGGACAGGGAGTGCGGTGGGGACACTTAGAGGCCCAGGTGGCATGTCTGGTGTCCATTGTTGCCTGGGGCTGGCACTTTCCCTTTCTTATCTCAGCTTCCTCAGTTGTCTGTGAGGGATGCTGAGCTGTTTGAAGCCTTAGAAGTTGAGGCAGAGTAGCATAGTTAGGGGAAAGTCTTAAAATATTTCATAGGGGTGGGGAATGGCTAGGGGAGCAGGCAGGCTAGGAAAGGGGGCTTTTATGACCTAGAAGAAATGAGGACGTGAGCCTTCTGGCCTGGCGCCCTCAAGCAGTTCACCACTGAAGATGCTTCTGTGTCATTCCTTGTCACCATGGCCTCCAGGTTTTGAAAGATCCTGCTTACGAACCTTCAATTTTTCAGTAATGTTTTTGTTACCCCGATTGCTAGTAACCAAAGACATGTGTATATGCCAGTGTATTCAGCATTTTTATACATCAAGTGGAGGGAAGAGAGATGTAAGCCATTCGGAAAGAATTCACATGAGCTGGAGACAGAGGGGCTGGGAGAGGGTGAGCATGGTCAGCTCTGGGGCAGGCGCAGTCAGTGGGGCAGAGGGGTCCATTCCCATGATTGGCTGTGGGCAGCAGCTCAGAAAAGATTGCATGTAAAGCACAGGCTCCATGTGGAAAAGTGGCTTCTTGTCTCATCCTCTGACTTGGAACTCTGTCTGCACTAATACTTCTCACTGGCAAGTTATTCTGGTCCAAGAAAAAAGGGGAGTTTCTTCTTAAAGGGGAAACTCAAGTTTCTGATTTTGTGGGATCTTTTTTTCCCCCTGAAAGAAGGAGGTTGTATGTTTTGATGTCTGCACAAGCAGTCTTCTCAACAAGTATTTGGATGTCTGTTTCAGAGCAGCTGACGGGACGAGAGGAGGAGGAGTGGAAAGGGACCATTTTGCCGCCAACATGCAGCGAAGTATCATGTAAGAGACCCCACTCCCTTTTCCATCTTAAACTCTCCAAGTCGTTGCTTCTTTCTCTCACTCTCTGTCTTTTCTTAGAAAAACTCAAGTGGGCATTTCCCAGAAGTTGACCAGGAGGGAAAATGGCGAGTGGGACGTGCAAAATGGGCAGCGTATTCACTAAAACATTTTGGGTGCAGGGTTCGGAAACCCTGACCCAGGGGTGGTTCTCAGTCAGCAAGGGTTTTGCTCCCCAGGGAGCATCTGGCAGCATGTGGCGGTGTTTCTGGTTGTCACAGCTGGGGTGAGAGGGGGTCGAGGCCCAAGGTGCTGCCGAACATCCTAGAGGCACAGGACGGCGCCAACAGCAGAGAGTGGCCCTGTCTAACAGGCCCATCCTGCTGAGGTGGAGAAGCCCCGTACTAGTGAGAGCTGGCTTCAGGAAAAGAACAAAGGGAATTACTTGACATATGTAGTTGGAATCCTCTGGAGTCAATAATTGGATCCAGTAGCCCTGGCTGGTGTGGCTCAGTGGATTGGGGACCAGCCTGGGAACCAGAGGGCCACTGGTTCAGTTCCTGGTCAGGGTACATGCCTGGGTTGCAGGCCAGGTCCCCAGTAGGGGGCACATGAGAGGCAACCACACACTGATGTTTGTCTCCCTCTCTTTCTCCCTCCCTTCCCTTCTCTCTAAAAATAAATAAATCGAATCTTTAAAAAAAATTGGATCCAGTTGCCAGAACTCTGCCCTGGATCCTGTTTCTCTTCATCTTGTCTCTCTTCGTCTTTCAGCTCTGCTTTCTTCCATGTTGTGCGGGACATTCTTCTCCCGGGCGCTGGCGCCATAGAGTTAGTCTCAGCAGAAAAAGGCAGTCTCCCTCCCCGCTGTTGCAAAGATAGATTCCTGTTTCATTGGTCCAGCTTACGCCCCATGCTGGTCCCTGACCCAGCCACAGGGATGCAGGGCTCTGACTGGCCAGGCCTGGAGCGTGTGCCCACCCAGGTCGTGAGTGAAAGGGCAGGCCCATGCAGATCTCACGTACTCAGCAGTTTGGGGAGGGGACATTCCAAGACAGAAGTGGAGAAGTGTTATCGGGAGGTGGGGGTGAACTCTAGACAGACCCAGACCTGGACATCCGCCACGCTGACCCGCTGACCCCGGAGATGGTGGCTCACGCAGATCCCAGGCTGCATTTGTCTCGTGTGATGAGAAATCTGGAGCCAATCTGTCCCTGGCACACAATAAGTGCTTAGTTACAACTTGTTGAATGAAAATGGGGGTGTGTCATATCTCTCAGGTCGAGTTAGGGCAGAAAAAAGATCAGAGTGTTGTCTCCTCTGTCTGAACTTCTGTTTCCTTGTCAAAGGGGGTTGTCCGACATCCCTTATGTGCTAGGATGGGAACTGGTATCAGAAGCCACAGAGAGAATGATGGATCGGAGGGGCTATCAGTGCTGCTCTCATCCCCCTTCCCCGCTCCTGTCCTCTTCCAGGTCATTTTTCCAACCCAAGAAAGAGGGCAAAGCAAAGAAGCCAGAGGAGGCATCCGACAGCATCAGAGAGACAGAGCCCCCTCCAAAGTACGTAATGGGTCTGGGATGTGGTGCATTTGTTCCTTTATCAGTCACGACTCTCTTGGCTGCAAGTGTTACAAACTCAGCTCTGAATGTCTCAGGAGTTCGAAGGGAATTTATGACTTCAGTAACTGGGAGGTGCAAAGGTATGCCCAACTTCAGGCACAGCTGTATCCAGGGCCTCAGAGTCGTCTTTGGGGCTCTGCTCCAGACATCTCAGCTTCATTCTAGAGCAGACTTTCTCCAAGAGGCAGAGAAGCTGGCCACTGGCCACATTTCAATGCCAGCTCATCTAAGGAGAAGAGAGCAATATTCTCTCCTCCAGTATCTACCTCACAAGTTCATGGGAAGGGCCCTGCTTGGGTCACATGATCACCCCTACACCCATCAGTTTGCCCTAGCGTGGACTCAGCCTAGATTCATTCCCATGCCCAATTTGGGACCCTGAGCAAGTAACCTCACTTCCTGTGTCCCAGTTTCCCAGTGTGTAACAGTATCTCAATCTCTGTCAGGTTTTCTGCGTGGGTTCAGTGACTTAACGCCTGTACAGCTGGTAGAACAGTGCGAGGTTTGTTCACCCACTGGCTTGGGGAGGGGTAATACTCAAGTCACACTTTTCCTGACACTCCCAGGCTTCAGATCTGCCCCTTCTGTGTGTACGTTGCTATGTATGTGCTGTATGTGCATATGTAGTTTTATGTGATACATTTTCACTTTTTAAAAAAAATATTATGCTGTGTATATTGTTCTTCAACGTGCTTTCTTTAGCAACATTATGACTCAGAGATTTCCATTTGTCGTCACAGAGGACTGCTTATCCTTTTTGCCTCCTGCCCAGTGCTTTGTTTTATTAACATCCCCCTACTGGTGGATATCGAGGTTGTCCCCAAATCTCGGGGACAACCCATGCTGCAGCCCATGCTGCAGCAGTCTCTGTGTGTGTCCCCCATGCTCGGGTACACATTCTCCGTCTAGCGTGGGTCCCCCCATGTAGAATCACACGTGGTGATTGTTAATGTGTCAGCCCAGAGATGTCGGTAAAGTGAAAACTTTAAAGTCCTTCCAGTATTCACTGTCTAGAGGAACTACGTTTACCCATTTCAGGCGTGTCCTTTCCAACATGCCTGTAAACACATATGCATGTAACAGGCGCTGCATAACTGTGTGTCAGGCGAGTGTTCCCTTACGTATGTATGGTACAGCAGGCTGTCACTCTGGCTGCTGTTCTATCTCAGGGAGTTGGCACAGGCCTGATGTGCACCAGATCCTGAGAAATATGCTCCTTTATTTTTAAATAACAGAAGCTAGATTATTATATATACAAGTTGCAGATACAAACTGGCAAACATACATATTTTTATATCCATGGACTCATACATATTCATTTCACTAAATATTCACTAAATACCCGTTGAGTATCTTCTGCGTGTCAGGCACTGTTCCAGGTCCTATGGTTTTAGCAGCGAATAAAATCCATTGCAATTCCTCATAGCATTGATTACCTGCTTTTTTCCTCACCAAAAATGTCCTTTAAAGCCCTTTCCATGATGCTTTGTATCAACCCACTTCATTCTTTCTGATGATGCTCCATAAAGTGAGTGCTGTCACCGGCCTCCCTGGGGAGGTGTCTGTCTTCATGTTGGTCCCATTGGCAGGAGTGCAGGCCCTTGTTGGAATCAGTGCCTTAAACCACGTCCACACTGCACTGTATTTTGATGGCCTCTGCCTGTGTCTTTCACCAGGACGCTCCTCAGAGCCAGTGTGGGGAGTGTGTCGGCTGTACAGGGCAGGAAGGTAGCTCCATAGTGGTAGGTTATCCTGAGACCTGGGTTTTTGTGAGGGCAAGCAGTGGATCCTATTGGTCAGAACTCACTACGTGACCATGCCTAGCAGCAGGGGAGGCTGGGAAATGTAGTCCCTAGTTGAGGGGCCATGTACCTAGACACAACTTGGAGGCTTGGATGACTAAAAGAAAGGGTTTCCAAATGGATGTTGGGGCCCCGTCTCTGTCCTGAGTAGGGGCCCCACTTGCTCCCAGCATCACCCATCCCAGCGTGGGCACATAGGAGCTCTCAGGAGGCCCCTAGAGAATGTTCGTCGAATGTGTGTAAGGAAGGGAAGGAAATAAGACACAGTGAAGGAGCTGGAGTGTTTGGCCGAAACGCTCTGCCCGCCAGAACATCCCCGTGTCCCCACCGGCCAGGGTGGCGCTGAAGGAGCGGAACAGAGTGGTGCCAGAGAGCGAGTCCCCAGTGAAGAGGCCGGGGAGGAGGGCGGCCCAGGTCCTGTGCAGCGACGGTGAGGAGGAGGATGAAGCCATCACACCCCCCAAAGGCCAGGTAGGTCCCCATCAGCCTGCCCATTTTTACGGGAAGAAACTGTAATTCCCATTATCCTTTGGAACCAAGTGCAGCAGCAGCTCGGGCGGGGGGGGGGGGGAGGGGGTGGGGAACTCTGGAAACATGCCCCCGGAGGCAGAAGGGTTTCGTGGTGTGCCTGAGCAGCAGTCGGGCGGGTCTGCGTGGGCCTGACTCCACCTCAGTGCCGGGACCTGCAGCTCACAGTGGCGCCTGCCTGCTAGGGCTGTGTGGAGATGACGGTTGTCAGCGCATGGGCAGGTCTGGGAGTAACGCCTGATGCAAAGGAAGGGCTCAGAGATGCTCCAGTCTCTGCTGTTATCAGGCAGTGTGTTGTCGGCCCCTGCACCGCGCCCCCCCCCGCCCCCACGGCTCAGTCCCTTTTCTCGTGTGGAAGTCACTTAGTGCCCTCGAGTTGCCCTGTAGATGACGTCCAACGTGCAGTGTTTCTTAGTCTGTCAGTGGTGAGGTCAGACCCTGTCTTCCTCCTGCTTGAAGCCGCCAGTGTTGGCAGCTCAGGCCAGCGCTGGTCCCTATGGGGACAAGGCCCTTAGGGAGCCCCCCTTCCCCCCCTCCCCCAGCTCTTCCCCCAGGTTGTGTCCGGGGCCCAGTCAATCCCTCACTTTCTTCAGGGCTTTGCACAACTGTCACCCCAGTGAGACCTCCCCAGATCACTTGTGTTTGTGTTCCATTTGCTGCCATAATGATGCGCCACAGACTTAGAAGCTAAAAATCACAGAAGTGTATTAGGTCACAGTTCTGGTCTCCCGGGCCTGAAATCCAGGTGTGGGCCGGGCTGTGTTTCTGGGACTTGAGGGGAGACTCCATTTCCTGCCTTTTCCACCTTCTTGCCGTTTGCAGAGAGAGAGAGTAGTTATGCCTTTCCTCGGTGGCCACACCTCTGTCCTGCCTCCTTCTTCCACTTCTTAGCCCCCTCTGGTTGCCCGGGTAATCCAAGACCGCCTCCCTGTCTTAAGGGCAGCTGATTAGCAACCTTAATTTCCCTGGAGCCCGGAGACTGACTGCCCTTTGCTGTGTGATCAAACATTCATAGATCCTGCGCAGGAGGACAGGGGCATCTGTGTGAGCTTGAACTTGGCCCTGGGGCTGTCAGGGAGCCAAGGAAACGTTTTGAGGGGAGAGGGACAGTGTTTGAAATATCCCTTTGGGGGCCTGTGTCCATCAGGGTCCAAATAGGAGACAGAAATCATGTGACTGACTTGGAGAGAGAGGGGGAGTTCATTATAAGGAATTGTCAACTAGGTCGCACTTATGAACTAGGGGTGAGAAGAGAACTGTGAGTAAGTCATCGCTGAGGTGGCCACTGCAGGGTGCAGCTCCTGCCCCTCGGGCTATGGAGCAGAAATTCAGACCTTCCTGGTAGAGATGCTGGCGGGTGGGTGCTGGGGTCTCGGGTGGGTTTGGAGGAGGTGCCCTGTGGGCCTGGGGCTTGGGTCTTCGAAGAAGGGGCACTGGGCGGAGTCTGCCGGTGTCTTCGGAACACCGTGTGTCAGGCCCAGCAAGCACTGCCAGTGACTGGGAGCTGGGTCCAGCTCACGCAGTCCCCTCGGGCCCCTGCACTGACATCGCCGACACAGCGCAGGAAAGGCCTTTGCAGAGTCCCAGTGTCGCAAGGGAGAGCAGATGGGAGCGGAAGGCAGTTGCTTGGCTACTGCCACAGGGCCCTGCAAGAAGATGAGCTAGTATTGAAACCCAGGCACAGATAACAGTGGCTTAAGGGAGGTAGGAATCTCTCTCTCTGTCTAATGAGCGTGTAAGGTCCAGGTTTACTGTGGGAAACTCATAGCATGAGAGTGAGGCTGCTTCCCTACTGTTACCTGCTCTGCCTGGATGCGCTCATCCGAGTGAGTGTCCACACTGGGAGAAAGAGGGCACTGCACTTTCATCAAGGGAATGAGCCAAGGGAAGTGTCTAATTATTTCCCTGTACATCGCATTGGCTAGAACTGAGGGGCTTGGCCACACAAGCTGCAAAGGAGGCTGGGAAGTGTAGCCATCATATGCCCAGCTAAAGATCAAAGATTCTGTTACTTTAGAAGAGAGTTACTGGTGTCCATGATGGGTCTGGGACCCTGACCTACACGAGAGGGCAGAGTAATGGCCCCAATAAGAGAGACCGCGGCCTGAGCTGGGGCTAGGACTGGGGGCATGGAGTGGTGGGGAGGCACAGAGAGAGGGTGAGAATTTCTCTCTGCTCTCAGCTGCCGGGAAACGAGAGAGCTTGGTGCTCCCCGCTCCCCTCACTGTAATCACCCTTTCTTCCCCTTGCAGAAGCCTGCCCCTGACTCCCCACCAGCCTCCCCACCTAGTCCGGTCACGGTTCCCGAGAGCAGCCCTTCCCTGTCCGGCACATCTCTGGCGCGCATCTCCCCATCGGGCATCCCGAAGCGTCGCACAGGTGTGGACACACGGGCCCTGTCCTTGCAGGTGCCTGCCCTTGTCCCCACTTGGATCTCTGCACCAGGCGGCTGTCCTCCTGGCAGCTCCGGTCTTAGTGTATGGCTAACGGCAGAGCTCCACCATCCACTGGCTATGTGACCTGGGGCAGGTGATGTAACTCACCTGCTTTTCCCCTCTTTTCAATGTGGGTACTAGAAAGTCTAAGATGAGGTAGGTGGCCCACCACGTATTTCCATTGGGTGGTGTGGCATGAGAAATGACCATGGTGACGAGAGCGCTGTGGGAGTGCAGAGTGGAGCCAGCCCAGAGCCCAAGACCTGGGGGATGGGTCAGGGTTCGCTGAGCTGAGGAAGGGCAGTGGGAGGTGTTGCAGCCAAAGCGGCCATGTGGAGGCCATGAGGTGCAGCGGCCTGGCGCGTCTGCAGAGCCCGCACAAGTCAGTGTTTCTGGAGAAGACAGTGCAGTGTGCAGAGCAGGGAGACTGAGGATGTGCGGGGGAGAGCAGGGGCTGGCTCCCAGAGGGCCTTGCCGGGGGCTAAGGAGCCTGGGCTCTATCCTGCAGGGACTGGGGAGCCGTGGGAGGCTGTGAGCCGGGAGGGCCGGGTCAGACCTGCAGGACAGGTGGTCGTAACAAGATAGCCGAGTGGCTCGGGGCTGACCCCAGCATTGGCTCTGGGTTGAGAAGGGGACTCACTTTAGAGGAGGTGACATCTGAGCTTTGTCCCAGATGGCTGCTAAAGAACACAGCGTGTGCAAAGGCCCACAATGTGACAGTGTGGTGTGTTTGGGGACAAAGCAATTAAGTAACGTTGGAGAGGAAGTGGATTGTGTGGCGTGGGAAGCTCAAAGCTCAGGTGGAGAGAGATTGAGTAGGATGGTGGGATGGGGTGGCCACTTGGACTTTGTCCTGGAGTGGGGGGTGGGAAAAGGGGGGCAGCTTTGGAGCAGGGGAGGGACAGTTCCAGCCACGCTGATGGGAGGCCTGCTTGGGCCATGGGAAGGAGCCCAGAGACCAGGGAGAAGGTGAGTTGACGAAAGTCATTCAGCTGCCTCCTCTTCACCGTGAGTTAGGGTCTCAACTTGGAACCTTCTAGAAATAGGCTCTGGAGCTCTGAAACAAGGATTCAAGTATAAATCAGTTCTTGGGGAGGTGGGAGGTGCAGAGAAGACAGACAGGCTCGGGAAGGAGGGTCAGCCAGTAGAAGATGTGTTCTTAGATCGGCTGCCGCAGGGGCAGCTAGAGCTTCCCTTTCCTGGGGCAGCCCTGGGGATCGGCCGACCTGCGTGTTCAGAACTACCTGCTGGAAGTGCGAGGAGCCGGGGTGCTTGCGTGCCAACACCCCGGAGCACCGGGTGAGAGGAACTCCCTGGGCTTGTTGATTCCCTGCCACTTCCAGGCTTCTGGGGTTCTGGAAAACCTGTCCAGGACACCCGGAGGTGGTAGATCCTAGGCATGCAGGTGGGGCCTGGAGAGCATCCGCTGTGGTCGAGGCTGGGCCCAGCCCGTGGCGTCACTGCTCACTGTTTGGGGGTCTCTGCAGACGGTGGAGAGGGAGGCACAGAGAGACCGAGTGACCTGCTCATGGTCACACAGCCAGGAGGCCGCAGAGTCCGAAGGACAAGGCCTGCGCTGGGGCAGCAGCCATGGGCAGGAGGAGAAGGAGGGGACCCAGAGCCTTTTCGGGGGGGCCCCCTCATGGTGGGCAGGGGGCGGGCGTGGTGCTGAGCTCCCTGAGGTCAGGACAGATGGGCCGGCGAGGCAGCCACCCCTCGGCCTTTGCCTTCCCAGCTCGGAAGCAGCTTTCTAAACGGACGATTCAGGATGTCCTAGATGAGCACAACAGGGACAAGGACCGAGAGACCAAGAGGAAGAGGGAGGAAGAAGGTGAGGTACCGTGTGTGTGTGTGTGTGTGTGTGTGTGTGTGTGTGTAATTCGGAAGGGCGGGGCCTGACTGAGAGGACAGGTGTTGGGACCCCACTGATTAAAGCCTGTGTCCGTGACTCTAAATGCACCTTCCAGAACCCCCACAGCACCCAGGGATTTTTATTAGGAGAGCATTTTGGGGGGACAGTCATTTGTCTCAGTTTAGTTTTCCATTTGTATCTTTACTTTTTGGAAATACGTTTCTCTAAAGGGTTTCTTTTATAAGTTTTACCAGGAAGCAGAGGCTCCCAGGGTCCACAGCGCCTCAGCATCGCAGGCAGTCTTCCAGCTTTCCGTGGTGCCCCCGGCCGGTTCCGCACCAGTTCCGTTTATTGACTGGTGACGTCCAAACAACTATTTATGTTCTAGGAGCTTGGGCCCTTGAGGAAAGTCATGCACACACGTGGGAAGGAAAAGTAATACTGTTATTTGCTTCTGAAATAATGACCATGACCTACTAATAGGACGTCTCTGGGCTGCTGCACCGTCTCTCAGACGAGTCTGGTCACAGACTGCCACCCCGCCTGCATTTCTGGTGTCCGGCCCGTGCCGGTGTCTGTGCAGCACTTGGTTTCAGTCCCAGCAGCCAGCAGAAGTCCCGCTCCACAGAAGTAGACCGAATTTTTGGGACCATAAGATGCACCTAGGTTGTAGAGGAGGAAAATAGGAAAAAAAATTTTGAAACAAAAAATGTGGCAAAATATTTAATAACATCAATAACATAGGCCACCGTGCGCCTCCCCCTCCCCCAGGGATCCAGGTAACCTCCATTCGGACTATAAGACGCCACCCCCCTTTCCTCCCAAATTGGGGGGGTGCGCATCTTAAAGTCTGAAAAATGTGGTAACCTCAAACTGCAAGGAGTGTGACCCCGTACTGCAAACTAAAATACCCCGTATACAGGGGTATTTTATATAGTATTGAGCTCCTGTCACCTGCATTTTGGTGACATGTGGGAGATACAGCCATAAACCTAACCCTAACCCTAACCCTAACCAAACGCTGGAGTTGCACGACTTGGCAAAAATGCATCATCAGTCTCAGCACTGTGCTGGGCAGAGGAAAAGGGCAGAGCTGGCTAGGTTTTCCCTTTACAGGGTCAGAGTAACCTCTCGGTTAAAAAGTAAAAAGGCTCGGGGTGGGCAGAGTGTGCCTCGTCACTGTCTGACTTATCTCATGTTAGACGCAGAGGCCCCGCAAGAGAGCAGCTCGGAGCCTGAGGCCCGGGAAGAGGACCTGGCGAAGCCTCCGCCCAGAGCTCCCAAGACGCTCAGCAGCTTCTTCAGTGAGTTTCTCCTCCCGCCCCCCTCCCCTGGGTGGCGCAGGGAGGACGTGGGTGGGGCTTTCCTCCAGGACAGCTGCAAATCCACTGGCCTTCCTGTGAGTTAGAAAGTCTAATTCACCTACCCTGGCTTCTCCCCAGCCCCCCGGAAGCCGGCAATCAAGAAGGAAGTAAAGGAAGCGGGGCCTGGCACCCCAAGAAAGGAGGAGCCCAAGGGGTGAGTCTGCCTCCTGCTGCTGATAGAGAGCACAGTGGGCTGGAGAGAATCGTGCAGTGAGCCCCAAATCTCTTGGACCTTATGGTAGGCTTCCAAAACAGGAGACCGATAATCACAAAAAGTTTTCAGCTTTAATTATACGAATAAAAAATGTTTGGGGATTCTTAACGTCAGTTTGCCCCCCCAGCTGAGCCCTTCTCAGTGAGGTGAAATGGCATAGTGCCAGCGTGTGGCTGCACGGTAGGACTGGTCCCCCCCTTTTCTGGGGTACTTACTGTGTCAGTACAGCGCCAAAGCCTTCTCTCATCTCCGTAGGAGTCCCGTGGAGGAAGCGGGTGTTTTAGCCATTTTTCAGGTGTTGGTTGGAACGCTTAGTCTGGAGAGGTTAGGTTGTCTTCCTCCAGTCATGTAGGGAGGTGGGGGTGAGGCCACGTCCACGACAAATGGCATCGTATCCATGACAGAAAGTTAGCACCTTGGTAAACGGCACCCTAGGCATTGGGCAGTGTGCCCCGCGGCACCACTGCGTGTAGGTTCTGTCCGTTCCATTTCCCAGACGAGGGAAGTGAGGCGTGGGGGCAGGGCGGCACGGGGAGTGGTGGGAAGTCCCAGCTCCACCTTTGCCCACTGTGTGGCCTCAGGGGAGTGACTTAGCCTTTCTGTGTGGGTTGGAAGCATTTAGACTAGGGCTCGGCTCTGGCCAAGCTCAGCAAGTTTGTAGCTGCTGCTGTTACTATTATTATTGTTATTGTTATCATTATTGACTTTGGTGCCTTGCCTAGGGCTCAGACAGGGAGTGTGGCAGAGTGGGGTGTGAACCAGGCAGTCTGGCTGTGGAATTTCTTACCCAGCGTGCTCTGCTGCCTCGTGTAATAGCAAGAGAAGCAACCAGAACAGCTGCCACTCATTAAACACTGAGTCCGCATGACTCCCCAAGTGTAGCCCCACGCCTGTTCCGTCCTGCTCAGCCTTCCACAACCCTGTCTGCACAAGAACCGGCCAAAAAGCTGAAGGAGTCCCCCAAGTCCTGTGCACCCTTCAGTCCCCTGGTTTTGTACAGACACAGGCCTGAGGCTGCAGGGCCAGCGTTGTCTTTAAAATGCCCCCCACACCATGCACCGAGGAGTGGGAACCCTCACCCTAATTTCTTCCTTCACGCTCACGACCACCTGTCACTGTAGGACTGGTGGCTCCATTGTGTGGATGGAGACACCGTGGTCTGGGGATGGGGACAGGTTGGCACAGTGGGTCGGTGACGCGGCAGGGGTTTGAACCCCGGGGGATCTGACTGCAGTCCGGGCTGTGGCGGCTCTGGCAGGGTCAGCGCGAGGCTCCGATGCTGTGGAGGATCAGAGCTGTTTCCGGGGCCCTGCCGCTTCCTAGCCATGTGGCCGGTGGGGAGACCCGTCTGTGCCCTAGCTCCCTGCTCTGGAAACGCAGCAGTGCCCCACCTGCCAGGCCGACTGCCGACAGCTGTTGTGCTTGCAGTCCGGTGCCTGGCACTGTGTGGCACCCAGGGACCTTGTGCTGTCCTTCCAGAGTCCGTGAGGGGCGCTGGTTGAGAGGCCCAGGGCCGTCAGGGCCTCTCCGAGCAGACTGGAAAACACATTCAGGTCCTGCTGCTCTACCAGAACCATGCTGGCCCCTTTCCTGCTCCCCGGTTACACCGGCCGAGTCCACCTCAGGGCCTTTGCACCTGCCGGTCCTCTGCCTGGAATGCACTCCACTCATCCCTTGTGCCGATTTGCCCCGGGGTCTCCCCTCCCCCAGCCACCCACCATCCCGCCATCCTACTTGGTTCTGGTTTGTTTTCTGAAACATTTTTTTAATATCTAAAATTATCTGTTTATGTGTTTCCCTCCCCAGACTCTCCCACTCGGATGAGAGCTCCAGGTTAGCAAACTCTTTTTTTCATTTACACCTGGGCCTAGCATAGTGCCTGGCCCTTAGGAGGTGTGCGGTACACGTTCGCTGGAGGAAGGGTTCCCTGGGAACCGGCTGTGCACCCAGTCTGCTCTCCCTTCCTCCCCCACAGCCCGCTGGACCCAGGCAGCTACAACCCTGCCAAGAACAGCTACCACCCTGTGCACGACGCCTGCTGGAAGCAGGGCCAGAAGTGAGTCCTGTCCCTGCCCGCACAGCCCTGTCACTGCGGGAGGCCCACTCCAGGGGCCTCAGTAGGATGATGCTGTCAAGTGTCTCTGTGTTTTGGGGACAGAGAGAAAACCCCGGGGGGCCAGCGGGATTACGGGCGTGCATCTGGGCATCAGCAAGGCTGCCCCAGGGCAGCGTGGGGAGGCAGGCGGGTGGAGGGCCGGCATGCGTTATCCATGCCGTTCTGCCTCTCCTCTCCTTCCCCAGGGTCCCTTATCTGGCTGTGGCCCGGACGTTCGAGAAGATTGAGGAGGTTTCTGCTCGGTAATTGATCAGGCGGCCTGGCTGGGGGGCGGGCCAGGGGCAGGTGCTGTCTGCCTCTGTCCCGTGCCTGGCAGTAGCTCCCCTTCTCCAGGCTCCGGATGGTGGAGACGCTGAGCAATTTGCTTCGCTCCGTGGTGGCCCTGTCACCTCCAGACCTCCTCCCCATCCTCTACCTCAGTCTCAACTGCCTCGGGCCACCCCAGCAGGGCCTGGAGCTTGGCGTAGGGGACGGTGTTCTTCTCAAGGCGGTGGCCCAGGCCACAGGTAAGGAGGGGCTACGGTGGAAATTCCGGCAGGAGGGGAGCTTGGAGAAAATGGCAAGGGGTGGGGGCTGAGATGATGGAGAGGGACTCAGAAGAAAGATAAGCCAGTGAGGGAAGGGGCCTGGTGGATGAGTGGCTGGGGTATGGGGACGGGGGTCCAGGTGAGGGGGGACCGGGCCTGCACTGAGGCGGGCCCTGGGGATGGAGAGGAGGGCCTGGGGACAGATGCCGCAGGCAGAGCGCCGGATTTGGGGGCAGGGCTCAGGAAGAGAGTGGAGGTCCTAAGGGACTGAGCAGTAGAGCCAGGAGGGGCCCCAGGGAGATGAGGAAAGAGAGGGGTGTGTGTGGAGCCCGGGGCCTGCAGGGCCTGAACCCCGGTGTTTACAGAGAGGCTGGTGGTATGTTCGGGGGGCTGGCCTGCCTGCCATGGGCGGCCAGTGCGTGGTGTTTATTGTGAGGGAAGGACCATGAGCAGTGGAGAGGCAGGGCTGTTCTGAGCCTGTGTGGAGGACGGAAGGGAAACTCGGTCCAGGGAGGAGGCTGGGCTGCAGGGAGCAGAGGCGGGGGCAGGAGTGCAGAGAGGGGGGGCAAGAGAGACCCGCTGGGCTCTGGGGGTTGGGGCATCATGCTTGACGACTCGGTAGATCGTGGGACCACCACCTGGACAAGACACGGGAGAGGGGCAGGCCCATTTGGGGGAAGTGCGTCACTTCTGCCTGTGCCCGTGTCTGCTGGCTGCCGGAAGGGGGGATCCCCACCCTCAGCACGTTAGCACTCGGTGCTGGCGTCCCCTCACCCCTAGGCCTGCCAGCTGCAGGCTAGTTGAGAGCAGGTCAGCGTTTCAGAGATGCTGTCACCGTGGATGGTGCACATCTGCACGTCACACGAAACCGAAGGTTCGCACTTGGCGCTGCCCCGTTTGTGCAATTCCACAAACAGGCGCGAGGCTCGCCACTCCACTCTGTCTGCTCGCGTCCGCCTGCGTGGCAGCCCGGCAGCCCGAGATGGAATCCAGCTCTTCCACTGCAAGTTCCTTTCCCTGCTCCCTTGTGTGAGTTAGCATTAGGGCCTGAACTGCAGTGACAGCGGCAGTAGGTTATGCCACCTCTGGTTTCTTTTCAGGATAGAAAAGAGTGACACTAAGCACCTTAGCACTAAGGACACAGCACAGGAGGGCTGGGTGGCTGCAGCCTGCGGTGCTGCTGGGCAGCTGCCTACCCTCAGCCACTCACATTGCGGGGAGGAGGAACGGGCGCGAGCACTGCTGGTCCCAGCTGTTGTGGTAACTGGAGTCTCCATTTTCCCAGCCCCCAGCTTTCAGAGCGAGGGGTGCCCGTGGGGCCCAGTCTGGACAATGAGTCAGGCCAGGACATGTCTAGTGTGTTTAAATGGGTGACTTCAGAAAGTTAAGAGTAACAGTTAAAGAAGCGAAGGCCTATTCGTCACTGCTGGAGGGTGTTTGCCCCCAACTAGGGGGCGGACGAGGGTGCCTTCACCACCTTCTCTGTCTGCACTCGCTCCCTGGTGATCTCCCACCCCGAGGCTTTGAATCCCATCTGCACACCGACACCAGGCATCTCCCCTAGTGTAGACGTGCTCATCCAGCTGCTGGCCTTGCCCCTGTGGCTGCCTAAGAGGCCCATTACACCCGGTGCAGTGGGACACCGATGTTTAACGAGCCGTTTCAACGAGTGGGTGGGCATTAGGGGTGGGCAGTTGGGGGCTTGTGACAGGTGCACGTGGCCGGAGAAAGTGCATTCAGGCTGGCAGAGAGAATTGACATGCCCCCATGCGCCTTACCCTGCTCCTCGGCCTCTGTCCCCCTAGGTCGGCAGCTCGAGTCTGTCCGGGCTGAGGCGGCCGAGAAGGGTGATGTGGGGCTGGTGGCCGAGAACAGCCGCAGCACCCAGAGGCTCATGCTGCCCCCGCCCGCTCTCACCGCCGCTGGGGTCTTCGCCAGGTTCCGAGACATCGCCCGGCTCACTGGCAGTGCTGTGAGTGGGGCAGGGGGCTTGCCCCAGGACCCCGGACCCTCTGCTCTTCGCCTTGGGGTCCTGAGGCTGTGCCTGCAGCATGCTGGCTGCTGGTTGGACTGTTGAGGGCCGGATCACCCCAGTTCTACGAGGGGGCAGATGTCCTTTCCTTCTTCCCTCTTGAGACCGTGGGAACCTCCTCTTGATGTTCTGACATTCCACTTAGTGCCTGCTGTGTGACGGGACTCTAGCATTGTTTGCTGAGTAAAGCTAGGGAGGGAGGCAGGCAGGCCCTGTCTGCTGAGCATGGGGCTGGGGGGCTGGGAAGTGGAGTGCAGTCGGGGGGCAGGCATTCCAAGGGCGGCAGCTTCCCAGGCAGCTGGGTGGCCGGGAGGAGGTGTGGTCCCCACCCTTCACCCTCGGGCCCTGACTGCACTTCCCTCACCTTGTCAGTCCACGGCCAAGAAGATAGAGATCATCAAAGGCCTCTTCGTGGCCTGCCGCCACTCAGAAGCCCGGTTCATCGCCAGGTGAGTGCATGGGCCTGGAGGGCAGAGAGTGGGTGGGATGAGCAGCTGGGACCACAGCTAGTGCCTGGAGCCCCTTAGGCGAGAGCAGCGTGAGCATGAGTGAGGGGCCAGGCCTTGGGGGTGGGATGGGGTCACAGGTCTTCATGGGCTGGCTCCTCCCCTTGGTAGTCCTGCCAGAGGAGGAGTCCTGAGCTCTTGGGTGAAGGGCACTGTGATTGATTGGTGATGTCTGCCTTGGCCTGAGTCCTGCACTGCAGCTGGTGCCCTGTGGTTGCCATGACAATGAAAACACCACCATGGACATCCTGGAGCACTTTCTGGGTGCCCTGCCACAGGTTTCACCCTATCAGTGCCGCCCACAGCTCTGTGAAGCTGGCCCTGATGTCTTCGCCCAGTTTACTGACGGGGCGGTGGGGGCCCAGGGAGGTCGAGACTCCCACTCAAGGTCGCTGGCTCAGAGCACGGCCTGTGCCCGTGACAGGTCCCTGACCGTCACACCCTCGGGCACTGCTGGGGTGGGCTGTGTCCTGGCTCCAGGCTGGCCCTGCTTCCCTGCCCTGCCACCCCCTCCCCCAGCCTCACCACTTTCTCAGGTGAGATGAGAGGTGAAGATACCTGCGAGGCACCTCGTTCTGCCCTCCGGAAATGCCGGTGGTTGTGATGGTTACTGGCTGGCCTTGGTGTCCTTAGCTGTTAGGTGGGGCTGGGTGATGCCTTGGGCCCTTTCTGGCTCTGAAGGCTGTCTGGCTTTGAGGAGAGCGTCTCTGAAGGGTCAAGGTGGGGGAGCCTGGAGGAGGTGGAGAGGGCACATTTGCACCGGTGTGGACAAGCCTGCCACCCCTCGCCTGCTCTCTCCCTAGAGCCCTGAGCGGACAGCTGCGTCTCGGGCTGGCGGAGCAGTCGGTGCTGGCTGCCCTCGCCCAGGCCGTGAGCCTCACACCCCCAGGCCAAGGTGAGCCCTTTGGGGTCCCTGTGCCCGCCCCTCCGTTAACCCGGGCTTCCCTTCTCCTCTCGGAAGCCCATGCACCCCTTCCCCAGGTGGCCCTGCCTCCTGCTGCCAGTCCTGACGCCTTCCCTGAGGAAAGTGTCCCCGGCGCCAAGCATGCATGCCTTGTCTGCACACAGCCCACTGTGGGCCCAGGGCGGCTGAGGGGATCGGGCCGTCCCACAGCCTCCTCTGGGTCTCGTCGTAGAATTCCCCCCAGCCGTGGTGGATGCCGGGAAGGGCAAGACAGCAGAGGCCAGAAAGTCGTGGCTGGAGGAGCAGGGCATGATCCTGAAGCAGACGTTCTGGTGAGATCCGCGGGCCATGGGCAGAGGGGGGCCGGGGCAGCCAGAGGGGCCAGGGTGACATGGGGGCAGTGTGCGGGGCATGGGGTCCTGGGTGCCGTGGGAGGGGCTGGCGGCTGGCAAGCATCAGTGACCACCGTGGGGCTGGTGACAGAGCACAAGGTGGTGATCTAGACCAGATGGGCGTGGGGCACTAGGCTGGTGACAAAGGGCGGGCAGGTGGCAGACAGGAACGGGTCGGTGTCGTGCGGGTGTGGAGAGAATAGCACACAGGACTGCCTGTGGGGAAAGGCCGTGGAGAGGGGCTGGTGGCCGAGTACAGTGAGGGGTCAGGGCTTCTGTGGAGCGACAGAGAGGGCTCCAGGGAGAGCCGTGTGGAGGGACCTGGCCTGCAGCTGGCCCAGGGCTGGCCCCGGGGGGCTGGGCACCGCAGAGCCCGGGCAAGGGTTGTAGGCCCGCCTGCACATGGGGTCACAGACTTGCTCTCGGGCCCACCTGGACCAGTTAGGTCAGCACCTCGGGGAGGTGGAGCCCAGCCTGGAAGAAATGCTTTTCCTTTTTTTACATCCTTGGTTGCTTCTAACATGTAGCCCTGGTGAGAGTCACTGGCCTCAAGATGACAAATGGGGGGTGACAGCAGCTCAGACCAAGGGGGATGGAGTCAGGGATGGGCAGTGGCATGGAGGGAGGACCAGGACAGAGACAGCAGAGGCGGAGTGATAGGAGGAGTCGGGGATGCGGGGGAGCCGGCCCAGGGGCCAGGCGTCGGGCGGGTGGGTGGGAGGGCTGGGTCTGGCAGCCAGAGAGCAGTTTCCTCACTGCCCTACACGCGGGCCCTGGGGAATGCCTCCTCTTCCTCCCCACCCCCAGCGAGGTGCCCGACCTGGACCGCATCGTCCCGGTGCTGCTGGAGCACGGCCTGGAGCGGCTGCCGGAGCACTGCCGGCTGAGTCCAGGTACGGGCCGCCCCTGGGCCCCTCGAAGGGCAGGCCACGGCCTCACCCTGTGCACGGGTGGCTCAGGGGCTGTGGGCACCGAGGCTGGCCCTCCTTCAGGTCCCCTCCCTCCTCCTGGCCTTGGCTTCTGCCCCCCAGGGTGGCTGTGAGGGCAACCCCTCCTAGGCACCCCCCTCGGAACCTGCTGCATCTTCTCTGCCCACCAAGCTGGGGTCTTGTTCCCTGGTGCTCAGACCCACCCCTTTTTTCCTTGGGGGCCCCCTCTGCACCAGATCTGGCACGGCACCCCGTGGTCAGTGGGGAGGGCCCTCGGCTGGGCCCCATGGATCCCCCAGGACCCCAGGTTTCTTCTGTCCTGTCACTTTGTCATCCCAAGGCTGTCACCCCAAGTGATTACAGATGGCTCACATCTAGATTTTGAGCTGAGGTCGAGTGAGAGGCACAGCCGGACCCCTGGGAGGGTGTGGCCCAGACCCTCCCCACATCGCTTGTGCATGCAGTTAGCAGTCTGCACGATCCGTGGTTCCCTAACTCCCCCCTCCCCTGCCCCCAGGGGTCCCCCTGAAACCGATGTTGGCCCACCCCACCCGGGGCGTCAGCGAGGTCCTGAAACGCTTTGAGGAGGCCGCCTTCACCTGCGAGTACAAATACGACGGGCAGAGGGCGCAGGTACGGGGCGCCTCATCCCTTCAGTGGAAAGGACAGGGCCAAAGAAGCAGGCATGTGGGACAGTGACTCCAGCTCAGCCCTGGCCCCCGTGGACGGCCCCTCTGCCCGGCACATCTCTTGGGGCTCAGCTCCCACCTCTGTGAGGGCTGCAAGGATGGCCACCTCACTGGCTTATCCGAAAATCTGTTTTATGTGGTCAAGTCGTCAAAACTCCTGACCCACAGCTGTGGGAGCTCGAGAACTGTCAGCCGTGCTGGGGCTCTGCTGGTGGGTGTGTTCAGGGTAGCAATGCCCGCGTCACCACCGGTGCAGGGACCCACTCGGGGGCCTGTGACCCAGATGTCCTGTCGGATCTGTGGGGTCCCTGTGTGGCCCTGTTGTCCTGTGCGTCACCAGGGCACGGATGGCCACAGACACCGTGTGATAGCTGGACCCTCAAAGTGCAATGCCGAGAAAACAATCAGAAACAAATGATTTACAATAGTGGCAGTGGTTTTGAGTACATTTACATACGTGTTTTAAGTCGTGTGTGTGTAATATCCCACATCATTGTTTCTTGGGAAAACACGCGTGTGAGATGGCACAGACGTGGCTCTGCAGTGCGGCCAGTCTGGTAACGTAAATGCAATAACAGTAGAGCCTGGGATGCTGTGCATAGCACAGCAAATCAGCACGTCAACACGCATGTGCACACCGGACAGATCAACACACACATACCCAGCAGGACCCCTGTGTTGACGGAAGAGGGAGTAGGGGCTGGGGCGATGAGGACAGAGGCGGCAGGGTGGGAGGGGCTGTTCAGAAGGAGGTGATCTGCTCAGCTCTCTGAGCCACATTGTCCTCCAGAGCTTCTGGAACCTTCTGCCAGTGCAAGTGGGGTCAGAAGAGAAAGCAGGGGCTTCTGGGGTGGACTGGGCTCTGACTTTCTCCCTGCCTCCCGCCCCCCCACGCTGTCAAAGATCCATTTCCTGGAGGGCGGGGAGGTGAAGATCTTCAGCAGGAACCAGGAAGACAACACGGGAAAGTACCCCGACATCATTAGCCGCATCCCCAAGGTGGGTGTCGCCACCCCCACCTCCCCTGCAGGGGCCGGGGCCTCGGTCCCTGGTGCAGAGCACCGGGGCTGGTCCAGGCCAGCGCGCTGGGGCGGGAGTGGTTGGCCGTGGGTCCATGGGCGCCCCTTGGAGTGCGGTGTCCACTTGGCCGTGGACCTTGGGAGAGGCCTCAGGAAAAGGACATCTGTTCACCCATGTCTGCCTTTGGCCTCAGGGCCCTGTACCTCTCACCAGCCCTGCATGTCCCCTTCCACTCTCAGATAAAACTCCCGTCAGTCACATCTTTCATTCTGGACGCGGAAGCGGTGGCTTGGGACCGGGAAAAGAAACAGATCCAGCCATTCCAAGTGCTCACCACCCGAAAACGCAAGGTAGCGTCAGCCGCCCCTCACTGCCTGCCGTAGCCCCATACTCCCTCATGTCCTCCCAGTCCTGCCTACTCCCCAGAGGGTCAGAGTGTCAGGGTGCAGTTTTCTCAGCCTTTTGCAGTATGGCTGCCACAGCTCCAGCCTTTGTGTCCTTATCCCAGCAGGCCAAGTAGAAAGGGGGAAGAATCTATTTTCCTACATCTCTGTGTTTTATTGTGAGAGACCATCTGTTCCAGGAGCCCCCACAACCAGCACCCCAGTAGCTGTGTCACCAGAACTGTGTCACCACCATTAGCTGCAAGGGAGGCTGAGAGAGCAAATACCCTGGCAAAGGGGAATGAGGCTGGGCTCCGCTGGGGGCCCTCCCAATTCCGCGTCTGGGGCTGACGGCATTGTACCCTCACAGGTGTGCAGCCTGTTAGGTGGGGTGCAGGGAAGAGTGGTAGGTGACGAGTGTCTGCACCAGGCACCATGGGAGGGGACCCAACCAGGCCCCGGCTCACCTTTCCCAACCCCTGCCCGCCCATCTGCCCCGACCCAGGAGGTGGACGCGGCGGAGATCCAGGTGCAGGTGTGTCTGTACGCCTTCGATCTCATCTACCTCAATGGAGAGGTGAGTTCCGGCTCTGCTTGCTGGCGCAGTAAGGATTAAGCGTGGGAGACAGTGACCTGGGCTTCTTTTCTCACCCTGCCATGCCACTGAGTTGGGGGGCCACACCCGGGCAATGGTTCTCAAAGTTTGGGCCCAGGACTCTTGGGGGGCCCCCCAGGACCCTGCAGGGGGTCTGTGTGGCCCTCCCTGTCCAACTGCGCGGCTGCGAGGGGCGGCGTCCTTTTTGTGGTGCAGCCGTCCAAGGGCAGGGGCAGGCTTGAGGGGCCAGCCTGTGCTAAGGCAGACGTTAATGAACTTGCAGAAATGTAAAGTACTGGCCCTCTTGTCACTAATTTTTTTTAAAAGGTATAGACATGCTTCATAAAAAGGCTGGGTTGACATTGGGTTTATTATTTTTTAAGTGAGTTAATGTTTGTAAGATTCCTCACTTTCAGTGTGGTCAATATGAATATTAATATAGTACCACTAATACAGCGGTTTTCTCCGTCAGCCATTTGTTGACTGAGTTCGCTTCTCCCTCGGCTGTAGTCACGTTCTGTGATCCCTGCCCAGGCCCCTCTGCGCTCGGTGCCTCCACCCCTCTGCTGTGGCCCAGCAGGCTGGTCTTGTAGTTACCGTCCTGCACCGACTTTAAACCACTTTCCCTGCTTGCCCTCCAGATAGACACTGTAGCCTTGTCCACCAACAGCGTTTTTCTGCTGTAAAGTCATCCCAGGGAACATTGTGCACAGGAAGCTGTGTGTGGACTCTGGAGTCAGACCACCTGGGCTTTGCATTCCAAGCACACCCGCCCACAGCCGGTGACTGAGCCCCAGATCTCGCCTGTACGATGGGGTGACGCCTGAGAGCAGGGCTGGAAGGCCGGTCAGGCCACTTGGCTTCTCTCCATGCTGCACAGGCGGAGACGGAGCCAGAGCACCCGCAGAGCTGAGGGCACGGCACAGTTTGGTCGTCCGCAGGGAAAGGTTGCCGACCTGTGTGTTCACACAGCAAACGTCTCCTCCGGAGCTTGTCTGTGTTGTAACCCAAAGATCACGGGTTCTTGGTGCCTTGATTCAACTGGTGTTAAGAAGAGAAGCAGCCTCAGTTACCAGGGGCCAGCCGAGCTCCAGCAGAGCCTGGCTCCTCGTCTCGGGCTCCTGACTCTGGAGGCCACCAGGGCCTGAATGGCCTCTGGCCCTCCTGCCACTGGCCGGCCTGGTCCTCCCGTCCCCAGAGCCCTAGAGTCTGCGTGGTTCCTCCCTCTCAGAGCTTTCCATAGCTGCCTGTGCCTCGTGGCCCCCCTGGCTCCCTGTTTCGGGGCCCTTTCTCTTTCCCCCATGACGTCCCCTTCTCTCCGTCTGCCCCCTCAGTCCCTGGTACGCGAGCCCCTCTCCCGACGCCGGCAGCTGCTCCGGGAGAACTTCGTGGAGACAGAGGGCGAGTTCGTCTTCGCCACCTCCCTAGACACCAAGGACATGGACCAGATCGCTGAGTTCTTGGAGCAGTCAGTGAAAGGTGGGGGCACCCGCTTTCCTCCCCACCCTGCCGCACTCGGCCAGTGCCTGCCTGCCATGTGCTGAGACCCCGGCCCTGCCCTGCATGATTCGCCCTGAATCCTGCCCCTGCTCACAGTACTTCTCTTTCTCCTTCAGACTCCTGCGAGGGGCTGATGGTGAAGACCCTGGATGTCCACGCCACCTACGAGATCGCCAAGAGGTCTCACAACTGGCTCAAGGTGACTGTCCCCCGCCAGCCTTGCTGCTGTGCCCTGGACCTGGAAGTCTTTCCTGAGCCGGCCCTTGACTTCTAGTCCCCACAGGTCACCCTGTCTGAGCTCAGGAGCCTTTTATTTATTGATGGGGTTTTTTAAATCCTCATCCATGGATGTGCTTACTGATTTTAGAGAGAGGGAGGGGGAGAGAGAAACATCCATGTGAGAGAGAAACATTGATCAGTTGCTTCCCGTACATACCCTGACCGGGAACCGAACCTGCAACCTTCTGGTGCGAGGGACAATGCTCCAACCCACTGAGTCCCCCAGCCAGGTCTTGGACCAGCCTCAGGTCTTCTCTTCTGCAAGTCCTCGTTAATGCTTTCTTCTCTGGGGGTTGGCTGAGAATGCCCCAGCCGAGTGCCCAGAAAGCCGCAGTGGGAAGGCCAGATGAGGCTGCCCATCTCCCTGAGCCTGCCTTCTGTGTTGGGCGAGGAGTCAGCCAGGGCGAGAGGGAGATAAAGTCAGGTGGTAGTGAGCACTGTGAAGAAAGGAGTCAGCTCAGGGACAGCAAGGACAATTGGAAAAAGCCTCTCCAGAGGCGACATTCGGGTCAAGACGCAGACCACAGGAAAGGTCGGCCACGAGGAGGTCGGAGTGGACATCGAGGCCGGGGGAACCAGGAGAGCAAAGGCCCCGCCTGAGGAGCGGGCTCCGTGTTTGCAGGGAGCAAGGCGGCCAGCCGTGAGCTGAGCCAGGGCGGAGGGCAGGGCCCAGGTTGCACAGCGCGTTGTGGGCGACAGGGAAATAGAGCTGGATCTTCCTCTGAGTGTTTCAGGACGTGGCAGAGTTGTCACCGTGCAGGAAGGCCCACGGTATGGCTGTCATTTTGCACAGGTCCTCTGGTTGCCCTGTGGATGATGGCAGGTGTGGGGGTGCTGGGCGGGAGCCGGAGCCTGCGGGCAGGAGGCTGTTGCCTGGTAACAGCTGGTGGAGAGGGCCGTGAGGCCGAGTCAGAGGACCAGGGCGGGAGGTGGTCTGGAGCACGCTGGCCCGGCCTGTGGACTGGGCCTCCCTGTGTACTTGTGTGTCATCCGTGGCCCATGTCCCCAACTCTAAGTAGCTGTAAGGGCACATGAGCCTTTCCTGTCTTGGGAAGTGGACACTGCCTCCCCAAGGCTGAGCTCGTGCCTGGCACACTGTTGGCACTTATTAGTGTTTCTGGAACGAATGGACACATGTCCTCTGTGTGAAGGAGTGAGTGGCACGTGTCTCCATGCCCAGGGGAAGGGGGAATCCAGGGTGACCCCCAGTTGCCCTGTCGGACCCGTCCCCACAGTCACACCTGCTCTTCCCACCCACTCGCCTCTGTCGCTTCCGCTCTTTCCACCCGGAAGCCGTCCCAAGTCCACTCTCACAGCGGCCGTCCCGGCCTTCTTTGTGGAAACTCTCCCCGGGCTCACCCCAGTCTCTCCTCAGCCCTACGATGACACGACGCTCCCCCTCATCTTCTGCCTTCCCTCCTCGCAGCTGAAGAAGGACTACCTGAACAATGTGGGCGACACCCTGGATCTTGTGGTGATCGGCGCCTACCTGGGCCGGGGGAAGCGGGCCGGCCGCTACGGGGGCTTCCTGCTGGCCTGCTACGACGAGGAGAGCGAGGGGCTGCACGCCATATGCAAGGTGCGGGAGCTCGGCCGCGGGGAGCTCGGGCGGGTGGGGGGGGTCATCTCGGCGCCCCCTGGGGTGGGCCGGCTCACGGGGCTCCCGTGCCCTCCCCGCGATGGATAATTCTTTTTCCTAGTTCCTCTTTACTGTTTCCGATCCTGCAAAGTAACTCTTGCTAAACATAGAAAAGCGGGCTTGGATGGAAAGATGGGAGGAAGCTGTGTTACTTAGGAACTGAGTTCGGATAGTGGTGGCTTACGTGAGAGGAGGATTCCTTTGTCTGTCGTGTAATGAGTCTAGAAGGGGCAGGCAGCTCTTCGGTGTCATTAGGGACCCAGGCTTCTTTCCCTACAGTGGTTTTTGTCATGTGCTTCAGGCCTCTTCTGCACAATGTGGCTGCAGGAGCTCCAGCCACCACAGCCATCTGTGCTGGGCCCATAGGCAGAGGGAGAATGGGCCACCCAAGTCCGTCTTAGCCAGTGAGCAACTTCTGCCTAAGTTGCATCCGTCAGAACCTCGCTCTGAGGCCCAGCCCTGCTGCAAGGGAGCCTGGGAAATGTAGGGGTTTTTCATTGTGTTGAAAGCTGCACACATTGCTAATCTAATAAGTTTGGGGCCTTTGCCACAGAAACAGAGTATCATCCACAATTCCACTGCCAGAGGTAACCCCTACTTACATTTAAGGGAATACTTTATTTTTATAAAACTGTTCCTTCTCTACAAGTAATTCTGTTTCCTGCCTTTTGCCCCACAAGTACTGGGTTTTCAGTGCTCTCACATGCATTTGAGTCATGGTGATGAGGAAAGTTAGAGGGTTTTCACGCGCCATTCGGGACTTTTATGAACGAGGGGTGAGTGCCCCGTGAGAGTCTCCAGTAGCCGGCCCGTTCCCACACTGCCCCTGCGGTTGCGTGCTCGTCGTCGAGGCCTTTTCATTACCAATCGGCCGGCACGGTGCGTGTGCTCACTCACAGGCCGTGGTAGGAGTGATTACATTTCACAAATATCTGTGGCCGCTGGCCTGTCACCATTTTACGTTATTTACTTAGAAGAGTTTTCTGCGAGAGCCGTTGCCCAGACAAAAGGTGGGGAAATTTTACGGCTTCCAATACAAAAATTGTGTGTGTTGCTCTTGTGCCAGCGTAGGGAATATTTTTTTAGCCTTTTGTGTTGGTGGGTGAAAGAAAACTCTTAGTAGTGTGAAGGTGGGCCATGACACGGGTTAAGGGTGGTTGGGATGTCGGGGGTGGGGGCCGGTACGTGACTTCTGGGCCAGGGAGACGGAGCAGGAGGAGCGGGCCCTGAGGTCCGGAGAGTTGAGTTGGTCCCTGTCCAGGGTCTGTGAGGGGTTGGCTGCATGCTCAGCACCCCGGCCCTTCCTCAGTGGTTTCTGGATGCCGGTGAGGCCAGAGCAGGGTGAGGGTGTGCAGATCCCAGTCCCTGGGATGGGAGCAGGGAGGCGGTGCCCAGCCTCTGACACGCCCGTCCTTCCTGCAGCTCGGCACTGGCTTCAGCGACGAGGAGCTGGAGGAGCACCACCGGAGCTTCCAGGTGAGAGGAGTGGGCGCGCGCCGCGGGCCCCCCCCCCCCCCGCGGTGTGCGCGAGTCTCCTGGCCTCCACTGGCTTGTTTCTGGGCTCAGGGTGTAGACAGGGCAGTGGGCAGTGGAGCTGGCTTTGGAGGCCAGCGTGCTCTGGTTCAAGTCCCAGCCGTCCTGGCCACTGGCCCGTGACCCCGGTCGGGAAGCCTCACTCCTGGAGCTCAGAGCTCAGTGCCTCAGCCGCACCTGGGGGTGGGGGCAGTCGTGGGGCCGGGCACTGCTGCGGGGTTCCCTGAGTCAGTCTGTGGGGGGCGGCTGAGCCCGTGCGAAGTGGGAGTGTCTGTGGTCCGGGGTGTTTGGGTGTGAGTGTCTTTCTGTGCATTGGTGTCTCTGGTTCTGTTTCTGTCTGTTCTTTGGTTCTCTCTCTGCCTCTGTCTCTGTCTCTGCCTCTGGGTCTCTGTCCCTCTCTGTGCCTCTGTTGGTCTCTAATTTCTTGTCTCAGCTCCCAGGGTCTCTGTCTGTCATCTCTTCCCCGCTCTCATTTCTCCCCGCCTCCATCCCTGGCTTCCTGCTTTGAGTGCCTGTGTCTCTGCCTGTCTCTCCTCACTTGGCTTCACTTCCCGACCCCCAACCCTCGGCCTTGACTCTGAGACCTGAGACCCTCTCTTCCTGCAGGCCCTGGTGCTGCCCACCCCGCGCTCCTACGTCCGGGCAGATGGCGCTGTGGCCCCTGACCACTGGCTGGAGCCCCGCATCGTGTGGGAGGTCAAGTGTGCCGATCTCTCCCTCTCCCCGATCTACCCTGCGGCCCGGGGGCTGGTGAGTGACTGACCTGATGGGGGCTGGGGTAGACCCCCCCAAGGGGACACAGGCAGGGGAGCAGGGAGGGGGCCTGGCAGAGCCTGCCCTTCCTGGGTAATGCTGGGAAAACTCGGGCTTGCGTGTTATTCGGGTGTCAGACCCTGGGGTCAGAAGTCTCGTGTTTTTGTTCTTTAGAGAAACGCCCCCGGAGTAGAGAGAGAGCAGTGAAGGGGCTCCATTTCCCATCATAGGCTCACACTTGGCTCTGAAGTAATTTTTGAAAAGTTCTTCTAAGTAAAAGCTTATGGTACAACCTGCTATCAGGTTTTAAATTCCTCCCCTCACAAGCGGCTTCAGTCCTGCCCGCAGCCACAGCATCAGACGCCGGGTCCACATGGCTGCTGCCCCACATGGGGGCGGCCCTGGGCCTCCTCCCTCAGGACACCGGGGGTCTCCCGTGTATCAGTGGGCATCCGTGGGGCTCTCCTCTGGTCCTTCAGACCTAGCAGACGCGTTTCTGGTTAGAAGCAGACTTCCATGTAAAGTTCCATCGGAAGGTGGAACTCCTGTTTTGGGTCAGATTTCTTTCTTGAATCTTCTCACTCGCAAAGTCGGGGTCCCCGGCTCACCAGTGATGCAGCAGCCTGCGTGGTGGGCGCTGCGCAGGGAGCAGGCGCCTGTCCTGTCCCCACAGAAACTCTGAGCAGCCCTGCTCCACCGTGGGGAGGTAGAGCCCCAGGGAGCTTCGGCACCTGGCCACAGGTCTCACGCCCCTGGGGGCTGGAGCCGGGATTAGACCCCACAGTCAGGTCCCAGGGTCCACACCCTACTCTGCCGTCCTGCCCCTCGGCCCTCATGCTAATGACCGCAGTCCTGGCATAAATAGGCGCTGCCACAGCTGGCGTTTCTTAGGCACTTACCATGCGCCGGGGTGGCCCCGAGGTCTACTACCTTCTGTAATCCGTGTGACCGCCCGTTGCCGAGCCCCGCTGTGTGGGTCAGAAACCAGGGCCAGAGGTGCAGGAGCGGGGAGGGGACGTGGCCAGGGAGCTGTGCATGAGGACCGCGGGCGGGACCCCAGAGGTGCCCATCGTCCCCCTGCCTCCCCAGGTGGACAGTGAGAAGGGCATCTCCCTCCGCTTCCCTCGGTTTATCCGCGTCCGTGAAGACAAGAAGCCAGAGACGGCCACCACCGGTGCCCAGGTGAGGCTCCCGGGAGGGGCGGGCTTGCCTGGCGCGGCCAGCTTCCTGGAGAAGGGGGTGCTGGCCCGGAATGGTGAGCGGGTGGGCAGCCCCAGGCTCTGACCACCACTGTGGCCCCTCTCCCCAGGTGGCCTGTCTGTACAGGAAGCAGAGTCAGATCCAGAACCAGCAGGGTGGGGACGCAGACTCCGACCAGGAGGACTTCTACTAGACCCCGTCTTCCCCCTCCTTCCCCCGGGGTGGAGGGTGGGGCCCCGGGACGGGACCTCTGTGGCGCAGACCCCGTGTGCAGTCACAGTGTGGTGTGTGTGTGTGTGTCGGGGGTGGTTTAAGCTGGGGGTTTAGTCGGTCATTTTTCTGTCAATAAATAATTATTAAACACTTGCTCTGTGTCAGGGTCTGTGCTGGGGGCTGGGGTGCGCTCTGAGCTCGCAGTCGGCTAGCGTGTGACAGCGCGGCACCGGCTGTCTGCGCCAGCGTGTCCAATGCCGCTTTCCACCACGATGGAGATACCTTCCATCTTTGCTGGGCAGTGAGATGGCCACTAGCCACCGGCAGCCAGTGAGCACTTGAAACGTGGCCGGTGCAGTTCAAAACGCATATTCTGCCCTGGCTGATGTGGCTGAATGGATTGAGTACCTGCTTTCAAACCAAAGGGTTGCCGGTTCGATTCCCAGTCAGGACACATGCCTGGGTTGCAGGGGCCAGGTCCCCAGTTGGAGGCTCACGAGAAGCAACCACACATTGATCTTTCTGTCCCTCTCTCCTTCCCTTCCCCTCTCTCTAAAAATAAAGAAAATGTTTTTTAAAGAAAAGGAAAAGAAATTGTTGACACCGTCTTCCAGGGGAGGTGGTGCTTGGACTGGGCTCCGGGGCGGTGTGCGGCAGGGAGGTGTGCGGGGGCAGACTTTCGTAGCTGCGTGTAAGTTAGAGTGCGAATCTGGTGTGACGCATCGCTGCTGCTGGTGTTCACTTCGACTGTCTGGTCGTGGTAGGTCCGCCTGGTTTCCCCACAGAAGCGACTCCCCTTTGAAATCAGTATTTTAAAGGGAGGTATTTGAGCTACACAGATGTCACGCTTTCCACTGACTTTAAAAAAAATTTGGGTGGACTCTCGGTTTCCTACGTTACCCGATAGAATTTGATATTGTTTACTTGACTTTCAAACTGGCCCTGGCGGGCCCAACGGCACTCCTCCCAGCCACCCTCTGTCCCCGAAACTGAAACTCGAGCATTCTCGCTCTAGGGCACCATGGGGTGTGCTAGGCTCGCCTCACACTTTCGCCCCAGACTCGGAGTCCGAGGCTGTGTCTTCCAGGAGTCTGGCTTCCTTCCGAGGACAGTGGCACTTAGGGGCCAAGACCTGGGGGCAACAGGTGCTCGTCAACAGCAGGGTGCGGCTGCTGCTAAGTCCTCTGACGGAGCTAGAGTTCAGAGGTCTGAGTTCCCTGCACACACCGCGGCGGCCGGGAACTCCTGACCGGCACCTCCGACTCCAGTCCTGCACCGCAGAGCGCCTCCTACCCCCCTTTCCCTGTTCCCGGCTTCTCTTCCAATGGATTTCCATCATCCTTAACATAATCCGAGTGTGAAACCAGCCTCCCTTCTCCATTCCCATTCCCTCGGTGGTGGGGACACCTTTCTAGCCCCGATCTGGCTTCAACACCCTCCACGGTGCCACCCCCACAAGTGGATGTCCTCGTACACACCCCCACGAGAGGTGAGGATACCTGTGTCAGGACCCCCCTCACTCACCTCCTGCTCCAGTGTGCACCCCAGGCTGCCCGCCCTTGGTTCACCCTCACCTGCCCAGGCCCCAACCCATGGGTGGGGCTGCCCCTCACCACCCTCACTCCAATCCCAGCGTGAGCTCGGGCTCCCCACAATGTTGCCCACCCCCGACCCAGTCCTCTCCCAGCCTCACTGTGTCCTTGGGCTCTGACACCAGCATGGCCTCTCACAGCGACCTCTATATCAGCGAAGATGCCTGCCTTGCTCCTGCCTCCCACCTCTACCCACCTCGGGTAATCTTCCTGATTATTCAGGAAGAAAGGAAGGGAAGAGATGAGCAGAGGACACACAAAACTTTTTTTTTCAAAGATTTTATTTTATTTAAAGAGAAGGGAAGGGAGGGAGAAAGAGAGGGAGAGAAACATCAGTGTGTGGTTGCCTCTTGCATGCCCCCTACTGGGGACCCAGCCTGCAACCCAGGCATGTGCCCTGACTGGGAATCGAACTAGTGACCCTTTGGTTTGCAGGCTGGCACTAGATCCACTGAGCCACACCAGCCAGGGCCAAATACCCACCTCTTAACCGGTACACGTGCCTCCTTCCTGAGGTCAGATTGTCACCTAACTCGTGCGTCCCGCTCATTTGTGCACATTCCTGACTTCCTCGGAAGCTTCTCCAGACTGACAAAGGTGCCCATTGGAACCAAACACCCGGGCCCTGCCACTGCCTAATTCCAAAAGCTTAAAGCAAGTGACCTCATGGCTCACAGCTTCAGCGTCCTCATCTGCAAAATGGGAATGAAAGTATTCCCGACCTCCCGAGCAGTTCCGAGGATTAAATGGCATCAGGGACGCAGAGCCCTTTGCACAGGGCTGGGCACGCAGCAAGCTCTGCGAAGTCACTGCTGTGGGACATCCTTTCGGTCTCCGCTCTCTGTGCCCAGGGGCCAGCAGGGGCCAGCAGAGGCCGGGCTTCGAGCCAGCGCTCAACACACTTGTTGGAGCACCGAATGAACCGGTGCCCTCTGCGAACCGGTGCCCTCTGCTCCAATCCCCACTCTTTAAACTCTTCCCAATTCCATTCTGCGGAGAAAAGGTCAGAGCCCGAGACCGGCTGCCCCGCCTGGCTCGGCTCGCTCACGCCAGATGGGGAGGCAGGAACCACTCTGATCCCTCTCCGTCCAGAGTAGAGATTTCCCATCCAGCTGCCATAGCGCTGCAACACAGGGACCGAGGGAGAAGCCAGGAGAGGCAGGAAGAATTGGCAGAGAAGCAATAGAGAAGATAAGGAGGCTGAGCCACCGAGGGGGCCGGGAAGGAGGGAACCGTCCTGAGATCCGTGCGCGCTGCCCCGCCCCTCCATGCAGTTCCCCATGGGCCCCGCGTGCATCTTTCTGAGGAAGGGCATCGCGGAGAAACAGCGGGTGAGGTGGGGCACGGTGGGGACGGGTGGCGGGCAGGGCCGGGGGGAGCTGGGCCGAGGGGAAGCGAAGGGACGGGGTGGGTGCACGGAAGGAGGGGAGCAGGCGGGCAGAGCAGGAGTTAAGAAGGCGGGAGGATCCGGGGAGCCGGCTGGGGACTTGCGGCTCCGCGAAACCGGTGAGGGTGAAACTGGGAGTCAGGCGCAGAAGGAGGGCGGTGAAGGGGGCGAGGAAATGAAGGAGGAACTGGGGTGATGTTGGCATGGGCGACCATCATCAGTCTTCTCTGTGGACACCCGCGGTGGTGGTGGTGATGACGGTGATGATGATGAGGATGATGAGGATGATGAGGGTGATGATGATGTGATGGTGAGGATGATAGCTACCACTTATTAAGTCATTGCTGCGCGCCCAGACTTGTGCAAAGGGCTCTGCATTCCTGATGCCATTTAATCCTCAGAACTGCTGGGAAGGCCGGGAATACTTTCATTCCCATTTTGCAGATGAGGACGCTGAGGCTCTGAGCCATGAAGTCACTTGCTTTAAGCTTATGCAATTAGGCAGTAGCAGGGCCAGATCTGTTTGGTTCCAATGGGCATCTTTGTCAGGCTTTAAATAAATAATGATAATTAGCCCTGGCTGGCATGGCTCAGTGCATTGAGCACCAGCCTGCAAACCCAAGCGTCACCTGTTCGATTCCCAGTCAGGGGACATGCCAGGGTTGTGGGCTAGGTCCCCAGTAGGGGGTGCACAAGAGGCAACCACATATAGATGTTTCTCTCCCTTTCTTCCTCCCTTCCCCTCTCTAGAAATAAATAAATAAATAAGATCTTTAAATAATGATAATTATTACTATAGTAATAGAGGGAGGAGATCCAGGGGGAAGGGGATAACAAGAAAAGAGGCTGAGGGAGGGCTCCAAGGGTGAAGGGAAACAGGTGTGAAAGAGGCCAGAGGCTGGTGGGATTTCCCTGGTGGTGAGCCTCATAGCCCAGCCTGACCCTTCCTTCAGGTATGCCGCGAGTGGGTGGCAGCAAAAATGACTGGAAATTCTTAAAGCTTTTGGGAATCGGTCGTGTGGGTTCCAATCATCCCTCTGGATGCGGCTGATACTGGTCCCACTCCAGGGTGACGCCAGCTCTCGGGAGAAAGACTCAGTGGGCTGTGGTGGAGAGAATTCTGACCTGGGAGTCAGGGCCCTGAATTTGAATTGCAGCACTCACTGCAGCTGGCGAGCTGAACCATGAGCTGTGTGACCTTGGGCAGGCTCTTTAACCTTTCTGTTCCTCAGCTTCCTCTTAAATGAGACAGGAATGATATTTGGATCGACCTCACAGAGTGGTTCTGAGGTTTAAATGGAAAGATTATGGAAGATGCCCAGCTCAGTCAGCGCTCTGAACATGGTAGCTGTGGTCATAAGGTTCACTGTCTTCCTCTGGAGCAGGAGGGGGTGGATGCGATGGCCTGTGGGACCCCTCTCGGCACAACGGGTGGATGTGTCTTTGGGAAAGGCAGAGGAGCAGGAGCAAGGCTCAGGGATGGGAGAGAGGAAATGAGAGGCGTGAGAAGAGGGCGAGAAGCAAACAGCTGTGGAATGGGAGTCGGGAGACAGGAGAAGGGAGGTGAGGGGCACAGAGGAGCAAGGACTGGGGGAGAAAGAGGAAAGGGTGAAGAAAAGGTGAGAGAACTCGGGGGCGCGTTTGGAGAACTGCCCATTGGATCCCTGACCCTCTCTCTCTCCAAATTCCATTTTCTGCCAGGAACGACCACTGGGGCCAGATGAGATCGAAGGTAACAGTCTCTCCCTCAGATGCCCCCACATCACTGCCCACCCGCTTGCCTGTCTCTGTCCCTTTGTGCACTTCAGTGTGAGTGCCCTCACCTGAGAAGTTCACGCTGCTCTCTTTCCGCCCAACTGTGATTCTGTGGGACTCGTTCTCATGGCGGTGTGGGCACCTTCCAAAGCATTTGGGAGGCATGCCCACCCCTGAGTGTCTCAGGGACTCGGGAGTGACACGTGAGTTTTAGGATGAACCAAAAATCATTGGTTTTTCTTGTGATGGTTTTGACGTTTCCCATAACTTTTTTCCATCCAAGACTTTGAAGGACTTCAGTGCTGTTGTTTGGTGGCCTCAGGAATCACTTGTCTTCTGACATATTTCATACAACATTCCTTTTTTTTTCTCTCTTTTTAAAAATTGTTGTTCAAGTACAGTTTTTTTGCCGTTTACTCCCATTCCAGCCCACCCCCAATCATTCCTTTTTGAAATTTTAGTTTTAAAAAAGGTGTTCTCCTTTAAGGAATCTCTAGTCTGTGCCTCATTGGCGGGTTCAAGGGATGCCACTCTTCCCCATTGACTGTTTCAAGTTCCCCCATATCTCTCTCCTCTTAACTTTTCAGAGCTTCGGGAGGCATTTCTTGAGTTCGACAAGGACCGAGATGGGTTCATCTCTTGTAAGGATCTGGGGAATCTCATGAGGACAATGGGGTACATGCCCACGGAGATGGAACTGACTGAATTGGGCCAGCAAATCTGCATGAACTGTGAGGCCGGGGGAGTGGGAGGAGTTACTGGGTCAGGGGAGGGCTAAGGGTGCAACTGGTGAGGGTGGATAGGTTGGGAATGGAGTTGGCGACAGGGAGGAGGGTAAGAGGGCCTGGAGGTCTGGAAGGAAGCAGATCAGGGTATACATAGTGGGGCAGCATCTCACATATTTCATACAACATTCCTTTTTTCTCTCTCTTTTTTCAAATTGTTGTTCAAGTACAGTTTTTTTGCCATTTACTCCCATTCCAGCCCACCCCCAATCATTCCTTTTTGAAATTTTGGTTTTAAAAAAGGTGTTCTCCTTTAAGGAATCTCTAGTCTGTGCCTCATTGGTGGCTTCAAGGGATGCCACTCTTCCCCATTGACTGTTTCAAGTTCCCCTGGAGTGGTTAAAATGGTGACTCAGAGATAGACTGGGTTCGAGCCCCAGTTCCATTGTTTGCTAATTGTGGTCATTTTGAAAAAGTGGAGTTAACCCCTACCCTCGAGGTTCAATTTCCCCACCTGTTGAGTGAAGATGGTATCACTCCTTACTTTATGAAAGTGTGGAAGGAAGGGGTAAAGGCGCCAACACAGGTCAAGGCTTAGCCCCCAGTAACTGCGTGTTAAAGGTTGGTTGTTACCACCACTTGGACTCACCAGGAGCACAAGGCTGGACCTTCTGTTGATGCAGGAAACAAACTTGGACTTGGAGCTGCCATTGGTGCATAGTGTTGCAAAAAGGATGGGTCTAATTAGATGGCAGCGGAGCTGATTTTGAGATGAAATTTGGGATAAAATTTGTATTGGGTTTGCTTCTGGGCATGTAACTGAGTGAACAAGGTTGAATTCAAGGACAGGATGGGGTTTTGTATCTGGAAGAGACTTCGGTGCTCCTTTAGTTCATACCCTTCCTTCTACAGACCTACGGTGAGGGAGCGTAGGTGTGAGCCAACGACAGGATTGGTTCTAGGATACGTGGATCCTTGAGTGCCAGGATACGACAGTTAGATACTGCCGCCCCTGCGTGTCACCCCTGTTCAGTTTAGACAGACAAGAGGGCTTGAGTTGGCTGAGAGGGAAAGCCCTCAGAAGGCAGAGACGGGAGAAGATCTCTGCCTTGAACAGACCTGCCGGGCAAAGTGAGGGAATCGGAGGGTGGGGATGTGCAGACTCTCACTAGACCTGCTTCCCCTCCTCAGTGGGGGGCCGTGTGGACTTCGACGACTTTGTGGAGCTGATGACCCCCAAACTGCTGGCAGAAACGGCTGGGATGATCGGCGTCCGGGAGATGCGAGACGCCTTTAAGGAAGTGAGTTGGGAAAGTTTCACAATGCTGGCGGGGGCTGAAGGAGGCCAAGGTCAATGATTAGTCATGGACAGAACCCACCCAAACCAACTTTTTTCCCTCGCTCTGGGGGGATTTATAGGAAAGGAAGAGAACCTATTCCAAGCTCTTGCAATGGACCAGGTCCTCCACCTATTTTACAGAATGTGACCCTCACAAATGAGGGTAGGAGTTAGTATTCACTGACCTAAATCTTATACATGAGGAAAGTGAGGCTCATGGAGATTACATATCTCATCCAAGAGTCTGCAGTCTCCAAAACACATCAGGACCACTCTCCTTCTAGCCTGTAATAAGAAGACGGAATCCAAAAATGTGGGACCCCAGATGGGAACTCAAAGATCATGTGGTTTGACATACCTGTTGAAGAGATGCTTTAAAAATGCAGTCCAGCCCTGGCTGGTGTGGCTCAGTGGATTGAGTGCCAGTCTGTTAACCGAAGGGTCGCTGGTTCGATCCCCAGTCAGGACACCTGCCTGGGTTGTGGGCCAGACCCCCAGATGGGGCATGCAATAGGCAACCACACATTGATGTTTCTTTCCCTTCCTCCCTTCCCCTCTCTCTAAAATAAACACATACATACATACATAAATAAATAAATAAATAAATAAATAAAATCTTTAAAAGGAATGAGATTCAGGCAGTGTGGGGTGGGAGACTTGCTGAAGTCACTTCTATCCCCTGATAAAATGCTTTCCTCACTCAGAGAGTTTTCAACTGTACGAGAAAAACCGAGAATAGGACAGAGTTTGGAAGGAAAGACTCTGGAACCAGGGAAACATGGGCCGAAACCCGGGACATCTCCACCTCCTGGCTGTGGGATGGGCTCTCCTGGTCCCACAGAGTTGACCTAGGGCTGTAGCGTCTGGCAGAACTTCCTGGGGTCACAGAAACGCTCTGTCCTGGCCAGTAGCCACCGGCCACTTGCGGCAACCGAGCCTTTGAAAGATGACAAGTACGACTGAGGAACTGAAATTGTTTTAATCTAATTTTCATTCATTCCACTTAAGTTATTTATTCAATTCCCACATAGATTCAGTTGACTATAAATTAAATTTGTTGTGATTTTAAAAGAGCACTTGATTCAATTACTGACAAACATGCATTGAGAACAACTTGGGTACGTGCATCCCCCTTTTGGGCACAAATTTTGTGAACTCTAAATGCAGACTAGATATTTCTGGTAACATTTGGTGTCTGAACTGAGAAAGGCCGTAAGTGGCCAGCACACCCCAGATGCAGCCCAGTGTCCTTAGCTTAGGAGACCCTGTGGGCCGAGTTGGGTGACTCAGCACGTTAAGTACGGACTACGTAGGCCCTCAGTGTGGAAGGGCGCCAAGCCCGACAAAACCCGGTCAGCATGGGGAGAAGGGAACGCAACTCATTCATAATTTTAAAACAGATTGCATGCTGGAGTGGTCATATTTTTGAAATATAGGGTTAAATAAAATCAATGATGAAGAATCAATTTCACTTGTTCCTTTTAACTTTTTTTTTAATTGTTTAAACCCCTCATCCAGGGATCTGTTTATTGATTTTAGAGAGAAAAGGGAGGGAGAGAGAGGAACATCGATCAGTTGCCTCCCATCTGTGCCCCAGCTGGGGATGGAGCCTGCGGGCTTTCGGTGTACAGGGTGGGGCTGTCACCGCCTGAGCCACCCGGCTGGGGCAATTATTAGTAGTAGTAGTCATCGTCATTATTGCTAATACAGTTGACCCTTGAACAACATGAGTTTGAACAGCACAAGTCCACTTATATGTGACTTTTCTCCAATATATACATTGGAAGAGTTTTTGGAGATTTGTGACAATTTGAAAAAGTCACCACAAGCATCTTCTTTCCTCTAACCCACTCTGCTGTGAGAACACAGTGCAAAATACACGCTGTATGTTACATAGGAAACTTTCTATGTATCATTTTCTATGTATTAGCATAGAAAATAAGTGTTAATGGACTGGTGTATGTTATAGGCAAGGCTCGCAGTCAGCAGTAGGCTAGTAGCAGTTGAGTTTGGGGGGGTCCAAAGTTACAGGAGAGTTTTTGGCTGCGCAGGGGGTCGGTGCCCCTTGACGCCGCGTCGTTGGAGGGTCCATGCATCGTCCCCTTCTGCCCCTGTTCAGTTTGACACCAACGGCGATGGGGAGATCACCCTGCGGGAGCTGCAGCAGGCCATGCAGAGGCTGCTGGGGGAGCAGCTCACGCCCCGGGAGATCTCCGAGGTTGTCCGGGAGGCCGATGTGAATGGAGACGGCACTGTCAACTTTGAAGGTGACGCTTTGCGCTCCAGCACCCCGTGTGATTCTCCAAGTTGGCGTCCCTTCTCACTCCACCCCCAGTTTTAGGTTGGGTGGGGGGCAGAGGGGGGCGGCAGGGTTGGGAAGGGTTTTTATTGCAGCCCTTTCTGCCCACATCATTTCAAAAACCTCAGAGTCTCTCCCCGCCCTGTTCCTCCCCCTGCTGCTGCCGCTGGGAACCCCGTGTCCAGGGCCCCATTCCTGCGCATGCGTCCTCTGGCCGGACTCACGTCCACCTCCCTCGGCCCCTCCTTGTTCACTGGGCACCTTGGTCATCGGAGCAAAATGTCCCCTCAGAAGGAGATCGGACTGGCTAGTGGCTGAGACTCAGGTCAGATTCGAGGGCTTCAAATTCAGTCTCTTACTGACTCCGTGACCTTAACCTATCACTTGTTCACTGTAAGTGTCAGTTTTCACATCTGCAAAATGGGGCAATGACGACCCCTTTCTCCCGAAGTTTCGGAGGAAGTTGAAAGCAATCGTGCACCAAGCACCCCTCCCCGTCCTCGCTCGCGCCACCGTTCTGTCAGAGCACCCTTCTCTCTTCCCGCTGCCTCTTACCTGTGCTCCCGGAAGCCGCCCCCCGACCTCGAGGACCGAGCTCGGTGACCCCGTAACCCGCGCCCCCCCCCTCGCCCACACGCCTCTGCAGTGATCCTGACCCACAGCGTCACGATGGCTCTCGTCAGTTTGTGGCCTGCTTTTCCTCCTGGGCCACCGACTCGGTCTTTCATCACCGTGTCCCCAATCCCCAGTCCAGAGCTCAGCGCACGGAGACCGAGTAACTGGAGGAACAAAAACGACTAGGGCTCTGGGTAGATGGGGGCGGAGACTGTTTCTGTGGGACACAAAGTGGGCATGTGAAGTTCTCCTTAGGACACTCTCTGGTCCAAAAAACACCCAGCATCTGACGGCTGCCTGAAGACCCAAGTCCAGATTCTTAGTCTGATGTTCAAGTGCACCGAAGACCCGATCTGGTCCCTTCACCGTAGTTTCTGCGACCACCCTGTGAATTTTTCCGTTCTGGGCACTTGCTCTGTTCTCCCCAGCTTCTGTCCCTTTCTCCCCAGCGTCCCTTCCACACACCACACCTTTCTGAGGCCATCGGGACCTTATCCACCCCTCAACAATTCCCAGCAGTGCCCCCTCTGCAGAGAAGCGCCCTCTCGTCCTTAGCTGGGTGTATCAGTCCCAGCCCTGGGGCCATACAGAGCTTTCTCTTGCTCCCCTCAAGAAAGCTGTTGCTGCAGATCTGGGCGTGTTGACTGTGTTTGCCTCCCAGGCTGTGAAATCCTGGAGGTGGGACGGAAGGGGTCTTCCCTGAGCCCTCTCTGCTCCATAACTCCTGATACTCAGTCCACAGTTGTTGCCTCACTGCGGCATAGCCAGCGTTGCGGGTGCTGCTGGATCTGGCCAGGCTCAGTGGGGGTGCATGGGCATCAGCGACACTCTGGAAGAGGTGGGGCATAGGTTGTAGAGGTGACAGAGCCTCAGGCTCACCACAGGCAAGGGAAGGACAGACCAACCTCAAGAACTGAGTGGGACCAGTCAGTTCACCAGATGCAGGGTCCCAGCAAAGTGAGGACAACCTGCTTTCATTCTGGGGTTCGTCATTCCTCCCCCCATGACCTCATTGGTCAGCGTCACCGGCCTTGGTTTGCTCATCTGCGAAGCAGTGCTCACCCCTCTAGGATGGGTCGCGATGATGAAATAAGGCACTCGTAATTATCATTTACTTAGCGCTTACTGTGACTTATAAGCATTATATTGTTTAACCAGCTTACAAACCGTATAGGGAGAGTTCTCATTTTGTCAATGAAGAAATCAAGGCACAGAGCAGCCAAGATATTTCCCAAGGTTCACCTGCGGTTCTGACACGTAGGAAGGGCTCAAGGAGGTGAGGTCGCTGCCATTACGAATAGACTCCTCACCAGGGGCTTTTCTTTGCAGAGTTTGTGAAGATGATGTCTCGCTGAGGAGGTTCGGAACCCCAGTCTCTCCCCACCTGGTGGATCAAGCGATTGCGGAGGACTGAACCCCTTACAGGGGGGAGGGGTGTGGGGACTGGAGTGAGGTGAGGCTGACAGAGAGAGCTTTGCTGGGGGCGGGGGGCATGACATCTCTAGAAAGAGATTAAGGAGGAAGAATCTACATATGGAAATGTGAATGGGACTGGGGTCCACTTGCTGCTCCAAAAATTCACAGCATCTTTTGACTCCAAGTAATCCTAAATCCCTATGACCTGTCCATCTCTTCCCCAGCTTCCTCTTGTGTTAAAATAGTCTACTCTATTAGATTCAAAAGTTCATCAGCCCTGGCTGGTGTGGATCAGTGGATTGAGTGCTGCCCTGTGAACTAAAGGGTTGCCGGTTCGATTCCCTGTCAGGGCGCATGCCTGGGTTGCGGCCCAGGTCCCCAGTAGGGGGCACTTGAGAGGCAACCACACATTGCTATTGCTCTCCCTCTCCTTCTTCCCTTCCCCTGTCTAAAAATTAAGAAATAAAGAAATCTAAAAAAAAAAAAGTTCATCCCAGCCCTGGCCAGGTGGGTGGGTTGGCTGGACCCTCTTGCTGTCAGCACCAAAGTGTTGCAGGTTCAATCCCCGTCAGGGCCCACCCCTAACCTGTGGGTTCCATCCCTGCTCAGGGGCACGCAAGGAGGCACCTGTTGATGTTTCGCCCTCTCCCTCCCCTTTCCTCTCTATCTAAAATCAACAAACATATCCTCAGGTGAGAATTTTTTTAAAAAAGCCAAACATATAATTCTACCTCCTCCCTTCCCACTCCATCTGCTTCAAAGCCCTCCCTCCGTTTCCTTCTCTGGGCAAGAGGGAGGCGTGCCAATCAGAGCGTGAGCCACAGGGTACCGGTAAGACTGTGCTTGGACACGGTGCATCAGCCGGCATCAGAGCGAGCTCACCGCCCCCACCCTTGACTTCCTGGAGGCTCAGTCTGCGCTCTCCCCTCTGGCTTCCTACTTCCTTCTCCCTGTGTAAGAGACTCAGGCCACTGAATTAAACCACAAATCTGGATTATCAAGGTTTAGGACACGCTGATCCCCCAGAGAATTAATCCCCTGCAAAATGTCATCCTGCAAAGAGAGAGGAAGGGGACAGGAGCCTCCAAATCCGCAGCTCAGCCAGGTTCCCCGAAGCCCTCTCTGGAAGCCGCCTCCCCAGTGCTGTCTGCCTGGGCCATGGGGCGGGGTGGGGCGAGGCGAGGCCGGGGAGGGGACAGGGTGAGACTCGGCCTGGTCCCTGGGAATGGACTCCATCCCCGACGTCTGACATGGTTCGCACTGCGCCAATGGAAGCTGTCTTCCTCCTCACCTCCACCTGGGAGCAGGCTGCCTCCGTAACGCCAAGGTCCTCAAAATCAAGAGTTCGGTTCATGCCTCCCTCCCAAGTTTTCTCACTTTTGAAATCCGTGAGATAGATGGAGGGGATGGCTCATCGGGTTCAATGGTCTTGTTTCATAGACTTACAGCTTCAGTGTAAAGAAGGTGGGATCAGAATAATGTATGTTCTGGCCCCTTACTGTGGCCTCTTATGGCCTCCTCCTTGTCACCTTCACCATCCCGAGTCCATTTCACTTCAAGTTTCCTACCTCCATCCCCTCCCCCTCCCCTTCCTTCCACCCTGCATCCACTCAACCGCGTTGTAGGAAGTGCTTGCTCTGCATGCACTTTGAGGTTTCTCTCCCTCTCTTTCTCCCTCCCTTCCCCTAAATAAATAAATAAATAAAATCTTTAAGAAAAAGAAAGAAAGAAGCCCAGATCAGGAAGATACTACAAGGAAGATAAAGTGGGGTGGTGAGGTACCAAGAGATTGGGGGAAGAGCCCAGCGTGGTTGAATGAGATGGAGTAGAAGGAGGAAGGAGGAGGGTGGAGGAAGAAAAGGGGAGAGGAGGGAGAGGGGAGGAAGACAACAGGAGGTTGTCTGGGCTCAGGGCAAACGGATTCTGTAATCAATTATTGATGTCTGCCATGGTCACCAGAAAAAAGTCGTCGAGGCCCTTTTGCAATGAGTTTTCTACCCTGTGTTCCTTATTCATTTATTTATGGATGATTGAATAAGCTCCTACAAATGCCCCACCCAAGTCTGTGATTTTCCAGGTTGAGAGACTAGGCTGAACTTCCTTCCCAGGGCCCCAGGGCTGCCGATCTGATCTGCCCACTGCAAGTCTCCCCAGCTCGGTCGCTGGCGGCGTTTCCGTCCCCACGCACACACACCCCTCGCCAACTCTCTCACTCCAGGAAGCCGGAAGGGCAGCCCGAGTTAACTTGGGGCTCCTTTATTGGTGGCCAGGCCACATGCCCCCTCTGTGTTTCACAAGTGACCATGTGCTTAAGACAGATCATGGACAGGGTATTTCTAAAGGGGATCATCTAAGCTTGAAACAGGCCATTAAAAAGACGAAGGTGGTTCCAGACTCCATGGGTCCGTCTTGCTCTGAAGACGTTTCTTGTTTCCTTGAAAAGAACATTAAAAGCCGGCGATGAGGCAACAGGTCTGCATTGACTCAAAATATGATATAAATTGTGTTGATTTTCGAGAGTCTGTCAGAAGCAGCTGAGCCACGATAAGGGTTTAGATACCACCCGCCTGTCACCTGACTCATGGGAGCAAGTCAGCCAATGAACAGTGAGTGCCTCCCCCTCACCTCAGCTGTCAAGGGTTTGGTGGGAGAGGGGTCTCCAAGAAGAGAGCTGCGCTCTGACGGATGGAAGTTGGAGGATGGCCTTGCAAATGCCCTTAGTCCTAGACACAGACTGGGCACCACTGCGGGTGTTTGTGAATGTCCGCCCTGTTTGGATTGTACCCAGAGTTCCAAACCCATATCGTTGCCTGTCTGCCATTCAGGGGAGGGAATTTTCACGGCCAAGCTGAAACTGAAGAAGGGCCACTAATTTTGGTGTCATCCATAAGCCACATGCTTTATGGGAAGAAGGGGAAATATTTCCAGAATTTTCCACTCTGGAAGGAAGGGCCAGTGGAGTTTTGTGCACACATCTGATGAAAGGGCTTCTCTTTATGTGTAAATGCCAGAATTACAGCCTTGGCTGGTGTGGCTCAGTGAATTGAGCGCTGGCCTATGAATCAAAGGGCTGCCGGTTCAGTTCCCAGTCAGGGCACATGTCTGGGTTGCGGGCCAGTCGGGGGCACATGAGAGGCAACCACACATTGATGTTTCTCTCCTTCTCTTTCTCCCTCCCTTCCCCTCTCTCTAAAAATAAATAAATAAAATCTTTAAAAAGTGAATAAAATAAATGCCAGAATTACGGAGCCGTTAGGTCAGCTGGTTCCTGTAGGAACTCTGGAGAGAATTTCCATGGGCTTTAGAATGCTGAAGCCAGAAGGGAAGGCGAGAGAGAAGGAAGGGTAGAGTTGGTCTTGCAGAGATAGATAACTTAATGCCCTGAAGTCGGGTGGGACCCCGATGACAAGGAGGAGAAGGGAACCCCTCCTTTTCCGTGGTTAGCTCCTCAGTGATGGGTGTAATGGGCCAACTGCATGGTGCCGTGGCCTCTGGGGACCAGAGAAGTCCCCATTGTCCCCCTTCAAGGTGGTCTTCCCACCTCAAGCTCCAAGCTCCAAGCTCCCAGACCTATAACTTGGAAGGACACCCCTCTGGGTCTGAAAAGGTTCTCCCAGCTCCTCCCGCTGCTGTCCCAATTTCTTCCAGCCTTCCAATCTGGGAAGTTGTCCCAATCCTACCCGCCCCCCCGCCCTCTGCCACACACACACCCAAACACACGCCACCCTATATCTCTGAGAAACGGAGTTAACCTTGCTGGGAACAGCAGCAAACCAGCTCTGCTGGGAGCAACATACCCCGCCTTCACATCAACAACGCCCCCAGCTGTGCCCCTTAGCTCTCTTTCACCCCAGCCACGCCCTCCCATTTGGTCCCTGCTCAGCCTTGCCACACACGCACGCCGCACCCAGGCGGGACGCACGTCTTACCTTTGCATCAGCAATACACCCAGGTGCCGTCCTCGTCATAGTTGTAAGAGGTTGCACACCAGGAAAGGTTCTCCTTGGATCCTTTTGTAGTGCAGTTAAAATAATTCTTGTTCTTATAGTTGAATGGGAAGTGGCAGGGAGAGCCGGGAACCAAGGAGGAAATTCCTTGGAAGAAGCAAATGAGAGAGGGTGGTTATCCCAGGCCTTTGCGTTACAGCGAAGCTTTGGGTACATGGCCATGTGGCATGGCCCCGGGGCTCCCGTTGGAGTGGGGGAAGGCTGACCTGAACCTAAACGTCAGAGGAATTCTCTTCTTTTGGAAGCTATTTGGGTTTAGAACTTGGGGGAGGGTGGGGGATGGCACTGGGGCACAGGGCAGAGTGAAAAGCTCAAGGGCTTCTGGGGGTGGTGGGGGAAGAACTGGGGAGTTGCAGAGTGGGGGCACATGGAGGATGAATTAAGGTGGATCCTCTTTATTCACAGCTCCCCAATTTGTGAATTTGCTTACTCGCTAAAGTTTGGGTCCCCCAGATGGATCCTCATGGTAGGTAGGGCATTTGTGGACACACAGAGCGGCAGACAATTTGGGTCCCGCACGCCCACGCTCCTTGATGAAGCCCATGAAGCAGCCTTGGGCCCTGTCGTCTCCTCCCACTGTGAACAAGGTCCTGGTTGTGGCCCATGTGGTCCTTCCCTTTTTGCATTTGTGTGCTTTTTTGTTCGGGAGGTGATTTCACTGTTTTAAATGGCCCGCGCATAGAGCTGGAGTGCTGGCCAGCGCTCCCAGGCGCAAGGGGGCTGTGCCGTGCCTCCCAGAGAAAACAGGCGTGTTAATGCATGAGCTTCCTTCAGGCACGAATTATAGGCTGCTAAGAAAAATGTTCCCTGAAATAGAGCTGCCCTGGCAGGGTGGCTTAGCTGGTTGGAGCACCGTCTTGTACACCAACAAGGTTGTGGGTTCGATCCCTGATTGGGCAGAGATGGGAGGCAACCAATCGTTCCTCTTTCTCTCTCTCTCTCCCCCTGTCTCTCTCTAAAATCAATAACCATACCACATATCCTTGGGTGAGGATTTTTTTTTAATTAAGAACTTGCAGTAAGGCCAAAAGATTGCCACAGGACCTTTCCAGGTCACTCTAGACCACTCTCTGTTGACCAGGCAGGCCCCTGTGAGTCACCAGAGTCTCTGGCTCCACGTCAGCAGGCTTTCTGGAAAGGGCCGGGCGGTCGGGATTTTCAGCTTTGTGTGTCTGACAGTGCCTGCCTCGGTTTTTCACTCCGCCATCCACCATCCGGAAATAAATGGGCATGGCTGGGTTCTAAAAATATTCCCTATAGGTGGACCACGAACTTCAAATTCCATGTCACTCTCACTT